CTAAAACTGAGACTGTACCATCAGAAAAATTTAAGAAACATGCATGGATGTCACAAAGTCACAGACCCCTTCAGCACGATGACCCTAAAATCGGTCCCACCAAACTGACATCTCAATTTGCATGTTTTGCAGTTGTCTTTTGGCCAGCAGCATCTCTGGGAATTTGAACGTGTCTCTGTCTTTCATGCTGACCGTTTCGCATGGCACATTTATTTATATAAATAAACAGATGTCACATTTATTTATATAAATAAAATAAATGAAGGAGACTTGTTATGACAAATTTGGGACCATAATTAGTTAACAACCATGGTGGTTGAGCAGTCTGCATATTGTTATGGAAGGCGATGTCATGGATCCTATAATTGAAGTCAAGGAGGCAGTGTAGGTTGGATAATCAATCAAACTATTAACTATCTGTTTGGCATTACTTATTTGGGACCATAAGTGATTTTTAAAAATTTTTTGAAGTTCAATTATTGTGATCGATGGAATATATATGCGCAAAATGGATTTCAGTTTTGACGCAAGAAGTGTTTTATAATCAGTTTTTACTTAATGAAAAAAAAATCTGAAACTGCTTTGTATTTGCTTTCTGATCTGTGTGGTAATGTTGGTTGAGTTTGAATTCATGCTGCATATAGCCTCTGTGCAATTAATGTAAATATGGCTGATATTGTTGTACTGAGAGGTCTTTAGGACTGTTTTCTATTGATTCTGTTCTAAGTGCCTAGGTGGGTTGAGACTTGAGGGTTTTGTTTCATTTGAGTGACTGATCAAACTTTTGCAGCTAGCAGTGACTTGAAAATAATAAAAAAGGCAAAGCTAAGTTTTTGTTTTTTGTTTTGAACAAGTGGTAAAGAGAGAGCTTGTGAGCGTTAGAGAACTATTGTTCCTAAATTTCTTCCGACATTTAAGCTCATGGTTACTTACTGAATATGCATTGTACTGATCCTGATATTCACTTGTTGTGCATCATATTATTTTTTCAATCAAATTGAAGCCGATATGACCCAAAAAAAAATATTCAAATTGAAGCCGACTTTGGGGGATATAAAATTACTTGAGGGCATGTTTACTAATCAGGAATTGGGATAAACATGAATCGGAGTATTTAGGAATCAGGTTAAGCATGAATTGGATTAACTTGGAATCGGAGTCAAGCATTCCAATTAAGTTGTTTACTAACTGTTAGGCATTAGAATGAAAACAAAACGAATTTTGATTAAAACTGTTTACTATTGTTAGAATCAGAATCAAAACCAATTTGATTACCAATACCACCTGCCCTATTTCGGAATGTCATTGCCCCTATATCAGGAATCAAAGTCATGATTACCTGTAGACCATGCATCATTTTTCATTCCCAACATGCAAGTAAACAAATGAGTGGTCATGAATGAGAATGAATCCCATTCATCTCATTCCCTTTCCAAATGAGTAAATATGCCCTGATTGTTTACTTCTAGTTAATGTTAGATATGTCTATGTCCCTACCTCTTTCTTAGTTTCATATTATAATGTGTAAATTTGATCTATCTCAAATTGTGATTACAAGCATAAGAGCACCTGCACCCCAAAAGGCAAAGGCAAGGCAAGGGCTGCCACTATTCACGTGAATAGTGGCAGCCTTGCCTTTTTTGGTTCCACCCTAAAAGGCAAGGGCAAGGGCAAGAAAAAAAAAGATTATGCAACAAAATATAAACAACTTAGAAATGCGAGAAAAAAAAATAAATATGAAAGAAAATATAAACAATTTACAAATGCAAGAAAAAAAAATTAAAATTTACAAATATTGGAAGGAGAAGAGTTTGTATGAGGATTTGGTGCAGAATTTGAATAAAATTGTTATGTATTTATAGGGAAAACATCCATAATTTGTGTGTGTGTGTGTGTGTGTTTTTTTTTGTGGATTTTTTTTTGCTCGTTGACGTTAAAGTGACGTCAGCGCCTTCGGGCTTAAGCCCAGGCAGAAATTGCCCATGGGCTTGCCCGGGTTGGTGGGACCCAGGGCTTGCTTGGGTTGCATGTCCTGCGTTGGAGGGTCTTTTGGGCTGGTAGGGGCCCTTTGCCCGGGTTGGTGGCATGCGCTGGACTTGCTCTAAATATAGATGGTAATCTTTCCTAGTTGGTATTCATTAAAGGGTACTTGCTTGGTACATGTGGAAACTTGTTTGTGCGTTCCTATTTAATGTTACATATGTTTTGCTTGTTGGTCATTCCATTGTTAAAATAAAAAAAATATGTTCATTCTAGAATTTTCAAAATGCGGTCACTGTTTTGGGAACTTTTATTGTGGGAATACATTTACTTGTCAAATTATGCTTCTTATTCGAATGCTTAGTTAGATATGACATTGTTGTGCCCTTTATTATTTATTCAAAAACAAAAAAAAAAAAAAAAAAGATTTTTTTATGCCAAAAGTTTCTAAATGGTCTGTTTTTTGTACTAACTTTAATGATTCATGTCAAAAGCAAAAACCTTTTATGATTATTCCCTAATGAAATAAATTTATACTTTATTATAGTTTATGGCAAGATTTCTTTTGACAATGTGCTTTACACAATTTTTACTTTAATTATGTGATAGGGTTTGTTTCTTGAACAATTCAAGATTGTGATTCTTAAAATTTCTGCATATTTCACAGTATGAAAATTTCCTCTTTAATTTTTATCAACAAAGCTGTATTCATTGTTCTACTAGCATACAACGAGGAATATCCTTTACACAGTACTGTTGAATATTGCAATGACTAATGTTAGAATATATATATATATATTTGTTCATTAGTTCTATATCCCTTAATTTTATCTTTTTGCTAGTTTAAACCATTGATGAAGATGTTACTTTATAATTATACAACAACATATTAGAACATAACCTGCCCTATTAGCCTTGTTTTCTGATCCATGGTTTTTACAGTGTGACTTTCTAATCCTTTAATCGGATTGTATGCAGTCAATTAAATGTTACCTATCCTTGCATTTGAGATATATGAATATCTATGCACTGTTCAGATTAGATAAACATCTAAAGGTGAAAGATACCATATTCCTTATTTTCGTAGGGTTGTTCAACCGATGGGTCATAAAGAGGTATTCAATCAAGCACATTCTTCCCTTACAAGTGTTATTGAACGCACTTTTGGAGTATGAAAACATATATGGAATATTTTACGAGACATGCCTAGTTATCCTTTTGCAAAACAAGTAAAAATATTTATTGTAACCATGACACTTCATAACTACATAAGAAGACATGTCAAACGTGATTGTAATTTTGATGAAAGTGAAGATGACCTAAATGGTATTCAAGGTGAAAAGATTGAGAGAAAGGTTGATGCATAATAAGAAGATAGTTTTGTAACACAAGAAATAAAGACATTGAGAAACCATATAGTCGCAAGTTTAATGAGTTCATCTACTTAGAAATGTATATGATTGCTTGTTTATGATTAGCTTAATTTTTGTTATTACCATATTATTGATAATATATTTACTTTTAATGGAATACTTATATTTATTTTATAATTAAAATATTTTTGAGGCTATGATGGAAACATATTTAATACAAAAAAATTATATGAAATAAAGTGAAAGTGCTTTTCATTTTACCAAACACTTAAATAGAAAAGTCATTTCAACATAATGCTATCTTTAGTCATTATATACAGCTCATAGCATTTTCACAAAAAAAATTACCAAACACTCAGAAACTGATTATTGTACAAACAACACTTGTAACAAAAAGTTTACTAAACGCCAAACTACTTTATCTCATAGTTGATTTCTCTCACAACAAATATGTCAGCGATTATTTTCATATCGCAACAATGCCAAATTGACCCAAAAAGTGACCAAAACTTGCAGGGATCCATGTGAATTTAATTAGAAATACATATGAGATGGTATTTCAAAACCATCAGCTGTTGGAGTTTGAAGAATGTTTGCTTATTGTTTTTTTTTTTTTTTTTTTTTTTTTTTTTTTTTTTTTTTCTTGTCAATCATACTGTCCAGACTTAGATAATGGTTTTAACTTTTTAAATGTTTGGTCATTTTATTTCCTTTTTCCTTTTGATGATAAAATAAATTCAAATTATTTGGGTTTAATGTTTCCATCTCCAGATATTAGACTAATATTTAGTTGGTTCGAGCCATTAGATTAAGGGTAAATTACTCAAATGGTCCTCAAATTTATACCTTATTGACATTTTGGTCCATCAACTAAATTATTCGTCAAATGGTCCATCAACTCTATATTATTCGCTCCAGTGGTCCTACCATCTAATTTTCTATTAGATTTAATCTAATTTTAGGGTAAATAATGACCAATTTGCCCTCATATTTAACGGAAATATTGACAGAATGTAACAGTAGGACCAATGGAACAAACAATATAGAGTTGATGGACCATTTGAACGAATAATTTAATTGAGGAACCAAAATGTAAATCAAGTATAAGTTTGAGGACCATTTGAGCAATTTACCCTTAGACTAATATTTGGTTGGTTCGAGACGAGAGTCGTACTCTTGTTGATATATGCTTGTTATACTTGTTATGGAAGTTGCTTTGTTCTTGCTGATATATACTTGTTATGGAAGTTGCTTTGTTCTTTATAGAAATGATGGGAAACCCATCTTGTGAGGTAGGGGTTTACTCTTTTTAACTGGACTAGAACTCGTTTGCAATAGAGGTAATATTTAAGTAATCATAACAATGACATAATTCCCCTTCTTTATGATAAATTCATCTTAGACGTTCATCAAGGTACATAATTTGATTTCTAATCAAAGTATATACTATTATATACATAGAACATCTTCTTCCGCTCCCTTTGACCTTGTGCACTCTGATATTTGGAGTAAAGCTCCAATTTCCTCCATGGGAGGTGCTTTATATTATGTTTTATTTGTAGATGATTACTCTCGCTACACCTGGACATATTTGTTCCGTTCTCGTTCAGATTTTCTTAACTATGGACGAGAAGACCATGTAAAAAATTAGAGCTCATCTTCTGCCTTCTTTCGTTGGTCAACTTCTTGATCTTTTTTGCCAGCATCTTCTGGCTTAGTAACAGGAAAATGATGCTCTACCCAAGCAAGATAGCCTCCTCCCATGTTGTTCACTTGCTTGAAACCCTGTCATTTCATTTACAAGCTTCTAAAAATTTGAGGAAAAGGAAAGAATATAAATGATCATAGCAAAATACTTATAGGCTGTTTTGAATTTTGATTGCTTTCTTCAACATGGCATGAAAAAGTACAAGAACTTGTAAATTTGGGTGAAATACAAATGTACTTACAGCAGTCAGAAGATCAGTAGTTGCAGAAAGAGATCGGACCCCACTTTGACAACCCTGTAAATATATAATCTCACAGTCAGACACCAGAAGAAATTGATGTAGTTTGCTCCAAAAGCTACTAGCTTACCACAACAAGAAGGTCCTCTTTGTTGCAAGCAGATGAAACCTCCTGCAAAAATTGGGGATTTTTTACCCTCCCTGAAGGCCAAAACCACATGAAATTTCATCAATTTCAAAGTAAACACAGAAATTGAAACTTAGTAAAAATAAAAAGAAGCTAATCAACTAATAGAAGTCACAGCCACCTTCAGGTGTATTGAACAGGTAAGGAATGTTTAAAATCTTCTCTGCATCCACATGCCCTTTCTTGTACTCCTCCACCGTCCTATCACAAACAACATTAACTCAACTAATATTTCCTTTTAATGAAAAAGAAACCCGATCGGAAGTTTGAAACCACTCAGTCTCTCATAAAGTACATTAATTTGAGGAAAAAAAAATTCCTTTTTTTTTTGGGGGGAAAAGAGAGCCCTTTACCTGACATCTATATAACCATAGCCAGACTTGAGCAGATCCTTGGCAGCTTGAACATCAATGGTGACGACCTCTGATCCCGAGCTACAAAAGAACAGGGGAAACAGAGCAAGAAACCCACAAGACAACCCAAACCAAGAAAAACCCATATTAGAATGTGCAAAAAGGAACTCCACGAAAGTAATTTGCTGAAGATTTAGACTGAAAAAAGTCACCTTTCAATAGAACCCATGAAGAAAAGTTGGTGGTATATATAGAGCAGCTTGGTTTCTAAGATCTGGTAGCTGTTTGCGTGGTCAGCCTGGAAAACTAGCTGAAGGAAGATAGAAAACGTGGGCTGAGGATTACTGCTGGTGTAGCTGTTTGTCGTCTTTTCTTTTTTTTTTTTTTTTTTTTTTTTTTTGTGTTGTTCGAATGGTTTAGTGGTTCATTTTCTGTGGGGAAGAGTGCCTTATATATATGGAGCTAAAGCCACGTACGGTTCCAGTCATCTGGGGCCACATAACGTCGTGCCACCTAAGGGTGAGAACCCAACTTTGATGCGAAGGAAAACAGAATCGAATACTTTTTAGCATCCATTTATTCGTAAATTGTGTAGTGTGTGGTGGCAATTTTGTATCTCAGTTATCTCATGGAATTTTTTTTTTATGTTGTTTTAGTTAGAGACTTGTGAAGATTTATCTTGCAATTTGGTTATATACAGATATGAAGTGACATTATTGGGGACCTAATGAAATTTTACACAATTCGCATAATCTTGATGTGGTAGATGAAGAAAGCTTTGGGGCGAATCAAGTAGGGAACACACTCATTTGAACGAGGATAATGCTAATGAAATTAGTGATGCTAGATATTATATAGCCAGAGTTATATAGGATCATTAGTCTTAGAATTTATTTAATCTAAAATATTTTAATTTAATATGTATTATTTAAGACTTGAAAATCAATTGAGCTTAACGATCATATATGAATGGTATTAAAATGTATATTTTAAAATTAGTATGTTTAATATAATTTCAATAGTTTTTATCAATCGTATACAAAATATAAAAAAATGTTTATCAATACTTTAATTCAACAAAAATGAAAAAAAAAAATCAAGAATTCAACTGAACAAGTTTTTAAATTTTAAAGATTAAAAACAGTTCTCAAGTTGTATAAAAAACAAGTTTTTGAATCTTAAAAAATGAATTTGAGATTTCCTTGTTTTTTAAAATAATCAAAGTTTTTGAATTCCCTATTTAGATAGGATACTAAACACCCCTTTAATTGCTTAAATCACAATTGTTATTGCTCAAGAAATCAATCCTATCAAATCCTAAAGAAAAAGGGGGTTTGGGTAGTGAGATTAAATTAACAAGTTAATTATTGGAGGTTTGCTATTTATGTGACAATTAATTTTGTTTTGATTTCTGGAATGTTGGAATTCTTAGGGGTAATTTTCTTTGTTTTCAATTTTTTTATTTTATTTTATAAAAAGTGGGGTTTTGTTGTCGAGAGGGAGGGAGATTCGGGTTTCAGAATTCAAATTTGAGATCTCCTCTAATATTGGAAAAATAAATATTACTATGTGAAAAGCTAGTTAGTCTTAAAGAAAAAGAGTTTAGCTTCACTAGAAGATTTTAGTTAACCTTTGTAGTTAATTTGTCTGCCTATAATTTAAACAATACATAAAAATTTCTAGAGTAATTTATATGAAATGAAATAAAACTGCATAAATTTTAAATAATTCGTTATACATAGTTATGTCTAGCATATTTATATTTATAGCCGACGGGGTCTAGTCCAAGTTCGAGTTCCCATAAGATCATAATTGTGTATGTGTAAGAAAAATCTCACTACTGTGTAAATTGGACTATTACTTACTGATAGGAAAATATCTAACATATTTATATGGTTCTTCCAACGAACATGCCGGCGAATCTTAATATTCTATTTTCACTTTATTTGCAGCACTTTAATAATGGATTTGGCCTTTGTGGAAGCCACAACCAAATCCACTAACGCATCTCTTGATAGGGCAAATTGCTCCTATGCCGAAATTATTGTTGTAACCAAACTCTTGGACCACATGCTTGTATTGAATCGAAGCCGACTAACATACTAGATACATTTAGACCTAAAATATACAACAGTGCAAATCCTAGTGTGCAAACTATTCAAGAGCAGAGCTGTTAGCAATGGGTTCCCTTGCTGCTTTGGCAGTGGCTGGGGCAAAACTACACTCGAGCTTCATACAATATACAGGGGCACAAAACTTTGTCCCCGTTGGCTAGCTTGTAGACCACATCAAGGATTTTGCACAGGATAGAGCACTGATGACCTTTACATTCGTGTTGCATCGGACAAGTTTTCACGGAAATTTTGAACAGCAAACTTTATTGATACGTTCATAAAAATGCAGACAAATATCATCTAGACGTCTCTTCAATCCATGCAATGAAACGCGCATTCGAGTGGAGTTCATATAGACATACACAATAAACGGGAGGGAACCCTGACAAGGATAAAACAAGGTTGGATGTAACAATGCTGTTAATGACAGAACAACCTTGGGGAGGATTCAGACTAGCAAGTATTTGAAAATCCAAAGAATTTCTTTCACTTTTATACTTTAAAATGATATAGATTTGTAAAATGATTTCACTTTTGAGGGAAAACTACATTCAAAATTCAAGACAATTAATCTCCATACCTTGACAGGTCATTTTTTCCATTCACTAACTGTACTACAACCAGGTCCTTCTTTTGATCTGCAAGAAGAAAATAACCAAACTTCAGTCGATAAACCACATCAGGTATTGGCCAATAAAAACCATACATAGGTTAATAACTTATCCTCAAACCCATAGACCAGGATGTCTTTCCTCACCAAAGAAAATTACTACTAAATTCGCCAAATATCAAACTAAGGACTGCAATTTCAATAATAATAGTAACTCCACAGCCTGAACTATTCAAGAAACTAAAGAAGATTCAGCCATCAAACACTAGATAGTGAGGATGGACCAAATTCTCTTACCTCGGGATTCACAATTTTGGTTCTCATATCATGCTTGCACACAGGGCAGAATGTTCCCCATTTTGTCAGCCATGAATCCACACAGCTTGAATGAAATTCTGCAAGTAGTTCTCAGGTTTATTAACAGAAATATACAAATTTCGATTGAGAAGGTGAGGAAGTAAATGCTAACTACAATCCACCTTTTGAGTAAGGTCAAAGTCAATTACCTACTATGATGATAGGCATGTCCCTAACCCTATAACCAACATTAGAATTTGACAACATTTGAACAATCAAACCATTAAGATAATACTTCTAGTTATCTGTACTTTTAATTGGACATGGGGAGAAATAGAATAGCTGCTTCTTTGAGTTCTTTCTTCTTAGATTGGACGCAACGCAATACTCTAATATTTGTCACGAGAATTACAGTTGCACATGTCCACAATGTGCAAGAGCATATTATAATACCTCAAGTTCTTCTACAATGTAATTTATGAACAGGTGGAAGTCTTCTGAGATATCATGACACATCAAGGTAAGCTGTTATCTTATGGGACTTTCCTAATATGCAGACGCTAACATACACTACACTGTCAACAGCTTTGCAGCTTGATGAGACTGATACTACAACTATGATGAAAATTCCAGGGATATCAACATGAACATCTCAAAACTTACCATGTTGGCAGGGAAGAACTTTAAGAATTTCCTCATCTTTGTAATTCTCAAGGCAGATGGCACAAGTATCTTCACTGTGGCATTCACCCAAACCACTGGAACTGAATGTGAAGCAAGGTAGAGCTTCCACAATCTTGGTATCCACACTTTTAGGAAGCTGGTTTCTTCCTTGAGAATAGAGCCAGTGTCTCGGAGCAAAGATGGCTATTATAAGTATACCCAATATGACAAGAAATGAGATAAAAGATATAGCTAGAACCGTCCAAGCTGTTTCATTTTGAAATGGGAAGATGCAGCATTCCCCTTCTTCCCCCAGAGCATGCTCCTTTAACACTTCACCAGATGCTTTCGAAACAAATACAGCATGAATTGTAATATTTACACTCTCTATCATCACTGCAAATAGAGGACAGCAATCATTATAAATTTATAACAGTTAAACATTTATCCACATTTCATAGAAGGCAAAGGGTAACATGTACGAAATGATAAACGGATTCCAATACAATCTTTAAATAATAAGAACAACCCAATAAAAATGAAAACACATGACAAAAATTTGAAGGGACATGGCGACTCACTGTAGACCAATTTGCCTTTATCTCTATCGTCATAAACAATAGCACCATGAAATCCGGCATTTTGAGCATTTTGGACTTTATCCTTGAAAGCACATTCACCTCTAACTATCAGAGCAAACCTTGTTTTATCAGTTTCGTTTGGTCGAAGTCCATTGCGTAGAGATGAGCAGGCGTCCAAAGGGTCTGATATAAGCAAAGCTCCACATATACCAGAGCTATTGACAGCAATAGCTATTAAACGAAAAATCAAGAGCAAAAATAGAAAAAAAGAATAATGTGTTCAGATCTCAATGCTTAGCAAAAGTATTTAATAAAACAACCGAAAAATTAGAAATTAGTATTATAAAATCTAAAGCTGACTTCAACCCAAGAAAGAAAAAAAAGGAAAATCAGATTACTTTTCCTACATTTTCTCAGCAAGCAAAGGGCAAAAGATGGAAAAGTTACCAAATTTGGCGGGAAGGTCCGAGAACTCCCTGGCAAATGGTTTGAGAACGACAATAGCTGAGGTTAGTTGGACAAGGTGAGCAAAAACAAGCAAACATAATCCCGGAAAAGCTTGCCTCATCTTTCTCTTTCACAGCTCCAATTACCTGAAACACAAAATCACAAAAACAAAAAAACAAGTTTATTGGGTTTAGACGCTTGAATTTCTGTGAAATTTAACAAATCAACGATCAACAATTCGAATAAACCGAGAATTTGAAAGCAGAAAATAAACATACCGATACAGTGAGGTTTTAAGAATACTGAGACGGAAAACCCCACGCAAATGAGAAATTGCAGTGTCAACTTCTCGACAGCATTTCACTATTTTTCACTTGTATTTTTTTTATTTTGTATTGTTGAGCCAGACGGTGCCGTTTCGGCTAACCTAATTAAAGCGCGGTCTTTTTATCAGTAACCATTGGGCTTAGCCGTCAAAGTTAAAAAAGCTTCGTTTTTTAAACTCTCAGATTGATTTCAGTTGAAGTTCCTGAGAAAAGCTTGAGCCTGCGAGTTTCATGGAAGAAGAAGCTTCGAACGCAGCGTTGCCAGATGGCTTCCTCGATTTTCTGAAAGAGAATGGTTTAGACCCTTCCATTTATGCGGAGAGCCATTCGACCCCTCGTTACATAAGGTGCTCTCTCTGAATTTATACTTATTTTTCTGTTTTTGATTGTGCTTTTGTTATTGAAGAGTTCGATTTTGATGTGTTTTTTTCCTTTGGGTTTTTGCTGCTCTGTTTTTGGTGTAACCGAAAGGCTAAAGCCTGGTTGCGAAGCTCAAATTGAAGAAATTGAAGGTGAAATTAAGTGCAAGCTTGAAAAAGTGGATTGGCTGCCTGGCTTTTATGCTCTTCCTCCTGACGTTCAAATCGCTAACTCAAATGCATACAGAGAGGGGAAGGTGAGCGAAAAGATCAAGCAGTTGCTTTCTTTAATTTTTAACAAGAAATCCCAAATTCTAATTGCAATGTTTTACTTTTGCGTTTGTTTTTATGTTTTAGATGTATGGAATCGATGCGGCGTCTGGAGCTGCTGTTTCAGCATTGAATATCTCAGCTGGAGATCATGTTCTTGATCTTTGTGCTGCTCCTGGTAAGTTAGTTTCTGGTTTCTGTATGCAATAAGTAAACTTTAATGTGTATAAGTGTGTAAGTTTATCAGATTTTTTGCGCAAGTTTAGCAATATATGTTGCGTAATGAGAAAAGGCGACTAATTTTTGCTGTTATGCTTAACTAATTATGCTCTTAAATTTTAAAACATGAACTATAGGAGTGGCTGCAAAATTGCAAAAACACTTAATTTTAGAAATTTAAACTTGAAAGGTTTAGAATTTATAAAATAGCCAGAAAAACGAGGATGTAATTCACAGCATTCGTGTGAGAGTTTATGTGATTCAGTTACACTGATGATTTTTGTTTCTGAAGGCTCACTTTTATCGTGTATAATTTATATCCAGGTGCTAAGCTTTGTCTGATATTGGACATTAAATTTAAACTTGAAAGGTTTAGAATTTATAAAATAGCCAGAAAAACGAGGATGTAATTCACAGCATTCGTGTGAGAGTTTATGTGATTCAGTTACACTGATGATTTTTGTTTCTGAAGGCTCACTTTTATCGTGTATAATTTATATCCAGGTGCTAAGCTTTGTCTGATATTGGACATTCTTGGTGATTCTGGTTCTGTAACTGGTGTTGATGTTTCAAGCCATCGTTTAGCGGCTTGTAGGACAATGTTGCAGAAATATGCATTGGGCAATCACTGCCGACTATTTGTTGCTGATGGGACAACCTTTTCCCTCGTGCCCATGAGAATTCATTCCGATCCAAAATCATGTAACTGATCTGAATCCACATATACCAGAAGCTTCATATGTGATACTGTGAAATCCTTCAGAGTGCAGTTTGCAAGCATATGCTGTTTTTAATATGTTATCATTCTATCTAGAATTATGCAGGTGAATCTGCTTTGGAAGAAAATGTGACATTCAAGGAGTGGACATCTCGGAGACCATGGAAAGAAAGGAAAAAAGCAGCTAGGGTAAGAAAAAGTGGGGCTGTGCATTCAGGAAATCAACTTCCAGAGCTCATTTATTATGGTCGCCACTCTGGTGTGGTTGGACTGAATAAAAGTGAATTGTACCAAACATTTCGTGACAGCGAGCTTATGAGCTGTGGCTATGACAAGGTGAAACTGGATTTTGATTCTTCGTTTTAACCTGCGTTTTCGCATCTCCTTCACCTTTTTCTATTTCCCTACTTTTTGACAAGTAATAACACCTTTTTAGTATCAGTTATGTTACCTCTTTGTAGTTTAACATCTTTTCTAGGTTGGTTGGATTTTTCTAAGCTGGCTAGCTTATTTCAGGTACTAGTGGATGCAGAATGCACTCATGATGGATCAATTAAACATGTCCAAAAGTTTGAACATTGGGGATGGGAAACTCTTCAACGACGTGTATTGGATGCAGAGAGAAGTGATAGCCTCACTGTGCTTCAGGTATCTGATTTAATTTCGCTTAAATGTATTTGTCAACTATGCTACTTTGTTTATGTCGAAGTTCCAATTGATGGAGGAAACAACAATTACATATCCATCCAATGGAGTTTCTTACATTTTCTCATAAGATTGTGTAAGACTAAATAATTCAGTTTACATCCTATATAACAAGTTAGAAGCTAAAGCTAATACTCTTCGTAAGAGTACTGAAGAAGGTAGAAGTTTGAAAGTTTTATGTCCTAATCTGCTAATGTAATTTTTCTCATTTGCATTTTGTGGCAGAATTCTTGCTTTCTTATTCATGTCTCGTTTGACTGGCGTGCGTGCTTGGTAAAGTGATGATAATATGTGTCTTTTGCTTGCAGTTAAAGCTCCTAACCAACGGTTTTAGATTGCTAAAAGCTGGGGGACTTCTTGTTTATAGCACTTGCAGGTGCTTTTTCGTTGGCTGTTCCTTTAACTTTTGGTAACTTACGCATAAATGGTATCTGCCTATATCGCTAATTTTTCTTTTCCTATTGATTAGCTTGACAGTTGCTCAAAATGAAGACGTCATAAAGCAGTTTCTTGAGGAAAATCCGTTTGCTGGTAAAGTCTTTTGTGCTTTGTGATATTATCATCAATGGTTTCAAGTATTTACAGCCTGCAACTTATGTTAGTGTAGTTACCAACTTACGAGCTATATACAATGACTTCTCATTTTACCTGTTGACTCATTGAAGCCTTCATGTTCCGCAGAGTTGCAGGCGATAGATGGTGCTGAAAATTGGCCAAGCAAGAACGGACAACTACCAAATACCCTGCGCTTTGACCCCTTGACTTCAAAAACTAGTGGACTTTTTGTTGCAAAGTTCTCAAAATTGGCCATTTAATCTGGTTTTAGATGTTCGAGAGCCCGAGTAATAGTCCATGTCAATGTCAAGTGGCATGGGGGCTTAGACGTCTTTGATGGCACTTTGGGCGTTATTTTTGTGATGGAATATAGTTGTACCTCATTTACTCTTTTTATATTCTTTTAATGATACAAGCAATAGTTTAAACAATAATCCAATTTATTTGAGGGAATTCGAATTTGAATTCAAGATAGCGGATTCAGCGCCCTACCAAACTAGTCTAACTTACGTCTGCTACATGAAAACGAAAACTAAAATGGCTTATTGGTTAGCCCCACCCAATGCATTGGAAATTCAATTTGAGATGCCATCATACGTGACCGCGTTTAAAGGATTCCAAAATATCCATCTTTAGACGGTTGGTTTGTGCAAAACTAAATCGGATTCTTGTTCAAATAATTTTCTAACCTTGAAATTGGATTTTATTTCCCAATAATCGCACGTGTGTTTGTGAAGCCTGAATCTGAAATGCATGTCGCCCTGAAATCAGTACAGATTCAGTGACGACATAACAACCATTTGAATTATTAGCAAACCTCCAAACTTTTAACAGCCACCCCTGACATCTCTTGATTAAATTGTCTTAAACAAATACTAGACGAACTTTTCAACTCAGAATTTTAATTTAATTAATTAGACACCAGGCAGGCACACACAGGCCATGATCGACGCCTGGAGAAAGCAACAAGATGACCAGCGAACACGAAATCTCATCTCCTCTGAGTAACAACTAACTTCACATTTTTCTTTTTCGCTTCCATTTATCTATCTCCTAACTAATTTTCCCTCCATTTTTCTAACTACCAACTGCTTCACAGTTCACAGCAACAAGATCGATGGCTCCGCTTCACGACCGCCGCCGGCGGATGAGTTTTCTGGCCACGAGAACTCTCCGATCGAGCAAGTCGCCCTCACGGTTCCGGTCACCGACGATCCCTCTCTCCCGACCGTCACTTTCCGGACTTGGACGCTCGGAGCCTTCGCGTGCGTTCTACTTTCATTCCTCAACCAGTTCTTCTGGTACCGCCGGGAGCCTCTCTCCCTCACCTCGATCTCGGCTCAGATCGCGGTGGTCCCGCTCGGCCGCCTCATGGCATCGCTGATTACGAAACGTGTTTTCTTCAAGGGGCAAAAATGGGAATTCACGCTCAACCCGGGCCCCTTCAATGTCAAGGAGCACGTGCTCATCACCATTTTCGCCAACTCCGGGGCTGGCAACGTCTACGCCATTCATATAGTGAGCACTGTAAAGCTTTTTTACAAGAAGAACCTGTCGTTTTTTGTTGCACTGCTTGTCGTTTTGACTACCCAGGTGCTCGGGTTCGGCTGGGCCGGGTTGTTCCGCCGTTACTTGGTTGAGCCCGCCGCTATGTGGTGGCCTCAAAACCTCGTTCAGGTCTCGCTATTCAGGTGACGTCCTTTTTTTTCTTCCTTTTGCCACGTGTTGTTCTGTTAGTGAACATTTAGTTATCGTTCTGTGCACGTTCGTTGACTATTCAATGGTCTAAACTAAAGCAGGTGCTCCCTCCTTATAGTGTCTGTGGGCCTAGCCATGGGTCTGAGCCTGGGTCTGGGCCTGAGAGGCCTTGTGCATAGGATCCGTTTTGAGCCCATTAAATTACCTGTCAAAATAAATAATATATACTTTTTGTAATTTATAGGTAGGGGAGAATCGAACTTAGGATCTCTCTCAACATTTGGAAGTAAAAATACTACTAAATCAATCATAACAAAGCCTCTAGATATGTAAATGAGTTCGTCTAATCATCACTGTATCATTATATGATGTGACATATATTTACAGTCCTTATCTATATATATAAAGCAAAAGGCAGAGAATGGTAAAACATTCAAAATATCAAAAAATACCCTTGGTTAATGCATACATTAAGAATTGAAATTATTAATTAAATGAGGATAATATGATAAATTCACATTTTTTAATATTAAAAAAAATTAAAAATTAAAAACAAAATCAGATAATAGGTCCTACTTTTATGGAATATAACTACCCATGTTATCTTTTCTTAATTTATAAAATAAATAAATAAATAAATAAATAAAAAGCCAATTGGCACATGCGTGAGCGTGTGCCAAGGGGCTAGTTATAAATAAATAAGTTCTCAAATAGGCTCAAATATTATGAACAAACAAAATACTTTATGTCATTTGTCAATTGGGGTCTAAAAATTTAGGATAAGAATTGGTGACTCTAATATTAGTTGGTCAAAAAATCTGGGCTCCCTAGCACTGCTCAATTAAGTTTTTCTACTGGTCTTGCTTGCTGCAGTGGTTTTTTGTAGAGTAATGTTGTCACTGATACAAATATTAATTATGAACAAAAATGTTGTGGAAAGTCACGAATGTTTCATCTAAACTGTGTGCATGTTATGTATTTGTGAGTGGACAGGGCACTGCATGAGAAAGAGAAGAGGCCAAGGGGTGGGCTAACAAGGAACCAGTTCTTCCTCATTGCTTTCACTTGCAGCTTTGCTTACTATGTCCTTCCAGGCTACCTCTTCCCAATGTTGACTTCCCTTTCCTGGATTTGCTGGATATTCCCTACTTCCATCCTTGCTCATCAGCTAGGTTCAGGGCTGCATGGTCTCGGCATTGGCGCAATCGGGCTTGATTGGTCCAGTATATCCTCTTATCTTGGGAGCCCGCTCGCCAGTCCATGGTTTGCTACGGCCAACATTGCTGCTGGTTTTTTCCTCGTGTTGTATGTCATAACTCCTCTGGCTTATTGGCTCAATTTATATAATGCCAAAACTTTTCCCATAGTCTCGGATGGTCTGTTCACATCTACTGGCCAGAGCTACAACATATCAGCTATAATAGACCCCAACTTCCGCCTTGACATTGATGCATATGAGCGAGAGGGCGCTCTCCATATCAGCACCTTCTTTGCTATCTACTATGGTATTAATTTTGCCTGCCTTACTGCCACTATTGTTCATGTTCTCCTTTTCAATGGGAGGTAAGCCGCACTCTCCAGGTTGAACTGTTGCCTTAAACATTATAATGCTGTCTTTTCAATTTTGTCCAATGGACATCACTTGCTTATATATATTGCTTTGAATATAGTGTAAGGTGAACTAGCTTATATATTGCTCTATATTTTGTTATCGGGCCTTAATTTTTCAAGCTTGCAGAGACATCTGGCAGCTAAGCACGTCTGCCTTCCGCGAGAAGAAGATGGATGTGCACACGAAGCTCATGAGAAAATATAAGCAAGTTCCTGGATGGTGGTTCATGTGCATCCTGGTGGCTAACATAGTAGCGACCATATTTACATGCCATTATTACAACCATCAACTTCAATTGAAATGGTGGGGGGTCTTGCTTGCTTGTGGTCTAGCCTTGTTTTTCACTCTTCCTATTGGAGTCATTGCTGCCACAACAAATCAGGTAGAGTATCACGCTCTTTCTCATATTCTGCATTTTTGCGTTCACGTGGGATGTTCTTTACTATACACTCAGCAAATTTAGCTGAACATGGAATCTCATATTCAGCCTGTGGTTAAATTTATGAAGCTGACATGCTTTGGCCCCTATGGGGATTCCCTGGAGCCTATTTCCATAGGCCTGAATAGGGTTCAAATTCCAACTGTGTCCCTTAAATTTTTAACATGTTCTGTTTAATTCTGGTACCCCATGCTTGTACCTAGTTTTGCATTGTTATTGCTCATGAACAATCTTTTCATTGATGAACAGAAACCAGCGTTGAATGTGATCACAGAGTACATTATCGGGTATCTGTATCCCGGATATCCAGTTGCTAACGTATGCTTTAAAGTTTATGGATACATAAGCATGAAGCAGGGGATCGCTTTTCTGGAAGACTTCAAGCTTGGGCACTACATGAAGATTCCTCCAAGAGCAATGTTCATGGCACAGGTTAGCTAGCTTCCTGAAAATTAACTTGGGGTACTTTAAGACCTAAAAAATAACTTTGTGAAGTTTCATCAAGTTTCTGGTCCATTGATTGATGGATGAAACATGGTCCCGTACTAATTCAGGAACAATTTGTTTTCAGGTAGTTGGTACTATTATAGCAGCATTCGTCCATTTAGGAACTGCATGGTGGCTTATGAACACAATCCCAGACATATGCGACAGGGCATTACTACCAGCAGACAGTCCATGGACTTGCCCCGGTGATCATGTCTTCTATGATGCTTCTGTTATTTGGGGGCTTGTTGGGCCTCGAAGAATCTTCGGGGATCTCGGCCATTATTCTGCCATCAACTGGTTTTTCTTAGCTGGGGCTATAGCTCCTGTCCTAGTTTGGCTTGCACACAAGGCCTTCCCAAGAAAACATTGGATTAAACTTATCACCATGCCTGTGCTCTTAGGAGCAACAGTTAACATGCCTCCGGCTACTGCTGTCAACTTCACCAGCTGGGTTCTCATTGGATTCGCCTCAGGCTTTATTGCTTACAGGTATTATCGTGGCTTGTGGAGCCGCCACAACTATGTTCTATCCGGAGCTCTAGATGCTGGATTAGCTTTCATGGCGGTAATTTTGTACTTGTGTCTGGGGATGGAACATGTTAGCTTTAAGTGGTGGGGAAGTAGCCCAGATGGTTGTCCCTTGGCTTCTTCCTCAACAGCATGAGGTGTAGTGGTTAAAACCTGCCCAATACTAGGAGAAAATTTGTGTGTTCAGCTGTTTGATTTGAATGTATTGATATGTATAATTCTTCGCTTAGGATAGAATAGTAATTAATTTATAGAATAACTTCATTGGAGATTTCTTACTGATCATTAATATTAAATAGGCTCTCTGAAAACAGGCTCTCTGATCCGGGGGGTTCACCAAGTTTAGGCAATGGTTTTGTTGAGTGTTTATGCTCATCTGCTCCTCTGGATTTTGACATCTTTTTTTTTCCTTTTTTTTGTCTTCTCTTCTTGAAAACCAGGGTAGCCTTATCCACTTGATGAATATATTAAACAGCAATGTCTTAGAAGTTATAATATTTTCCATTATTCTGTTTAATCATCATTAATCCGTCACCGTATTGTAAAACCATGGACTAAACCAAAACAGATTTGTTAATTTAAGCATTATCCGCATTAATGAAGGGCAAAACAAACTTATAAATAACTTGGTCAAGCAGAACCAAAAAGCTCGGACAAAACTTGAGCAAACAAACATATCAAGTTCTGAATTCTGATCTACTTTTTGCCTTTGAATATTTTCTTTGAGTCATCATGTTTCCTTGGCAATTTCTCACATCCCCCGCTGGGAAATGGCTGGGATTTGTAACAGCCATTTGGGTTCAAGCAATCAGCGGCAACAATTACACATTTTCCAACTATTCTCATGCTCTGAAATCTCTCATGGCACTTACCCAGCTTCAGCTTAACAACTTATCTGTGGCTAAAGATGTTGGCAAGGCCTTTGGGCTCTTATCTGGCCTAGCTTCCGATCGTTGGCCGACCTCCATTATTCTCATTTTTGGAGCAGTGGAAGGGCTCATAGGATATGGAGTTCAATGGCTGGTTGTTAGCCAGAGAATCAGTCCTCTTCCATACTGGCAGGTATACCAAAACACACAGTTCTATAATGTTGTCTAATCGCACAATCTGTCACGTTATGTTGCCACACTGTTAGTTAGGACGTTTGAAGCAAATCTTGTGTGAATGTGTGGTTAAAATGGAGATTCCGTAAGTTAATTACATGCTTTTTATCTTCTTATTTTTCGGGTTCTTGATAATTGAAATCATTTTCTGTCCTGGATGCAGATGTGCATATTTATGTGCATGGGCGGCAACAGCACAACATGGATGAACACAGCAGTGCTAGTGACCTGCATGAGAAATTTCGCAAAAAACCGCGGCCCGGTTTCAGGCATCCTTAAAGGGTATGTAGGGTTAAGCACAGCAATCTTCACAGACTTATGCACTGCTCTATTCTCCTCCAACCCCTCCAAATTTCTTCTTATGCTTGCTATAGTCCCTGCCATTGTTTGCCTCACTGCTGTCCTGTTCCTCAAGGAAACCGAACCGGCTTCTACGCCATCAGAGCAGAAACAAGAAGCAGAGTTCTTCCATGCCTTTGATGTCATTGCCATTGCTGTAGCTGTCTATCTCTTGGCATTTGACATCACTGGAACTCATGGTCATGTTCTCTCTTTGGCATTTGTCATAGGACTTGCTGTCCTTCTAGCTATGCCCTTGGGTGTACCTTTGTACACTTTATTTTACACACCCAGCGGCACCGAACCCAGTTGCCATAATGATGATATAGAACATCAAATCAAGGAACCATTGCTTGCTAAAATAGGAGGGACAATTGAGAAGCCACCAGAGATACAGAATTCAAATGAAGGCATTAATTTGAGAGATGTTGTAGGAAAGCGACAGCCATTGATTGGGGAGGACCATACCATTATTGAAATGGTACAAACGTTTGATTTTTGGATACTGTTTTTCTCATTTCTTTGTGGCGTTGGCACTGGAATGTGTGTCATGAACAATATGGCACAGATGGGGCTGGCACTTGGCTACCATGATGTCTCCATTTTCGTGTCACTTACTAGCATTTGGGGTTTCTTTGGCCGCATAGTCTCTGGCCTGGCCTCGGAATATTACATTGGGTATGTTCTTTCTAATTTCTCGTGTTACTTATTATCAATTTACAATACTTGATACATTCTCATTTACACTTACTATTAATCTACTTAATATTGTAGATTAATACTCAATACTAAACACTTTTTCCTCACTCGTGTAGACAGGTTAAAGAATAGCATACGAAACTAGGGTTCCCAATGTTGCTGCTAACCATATATTGATCTTTTTTTTTTTTTGGCAGGAAATGTGGCACCCCTAGGCCTCTGTGGAATGCAGCTGCTGAGGTTCTAATGGCACTTGGGTTCATAGCCATGGCTTCAGCCTTGCCTGGATCTTTCTACATTGGTTCAATTTTGGTGGGCATGGGCTACGGGGTGCTTCTCACCATAACAGTTCCAGTTTCCTCAGAGCTATTTGGTCTCAAATACTATGGACTTTTGTACAACATTCTCATCCTCAACCTTCCTTTGGGCTCCTTCCTCTTCTCTGGCTTACTTGCTGGTCTTCTATACGATGCCCAAGCCACTAGCACCAGTGGCGGTGGGACCACCTGTGTTGGGCCCCACTGTTACATGCTTGTGTTTGTGATCATGGCAATTGCTTGCATGCTCGGGCTTGCACTGGATATGCTGTTGGCATTTAGAACAAAGAACGTTTATGCCAAGATTTATGAGAGCAAAAACCACACCACGACCACATAGTTAATCTTGTTGCTTCCGTTCTCTCCTTGTTCACGGTGTTGTGAATGATTTGTTTTTGCAAATGCTAATTAATTGTATAAATTTTCATTTTTTTAATTTTTTTTATTTGGAATAGATAGGAAGAGTCGAATTTATGATGTTGTGTAACATTGTGAATGAGAAATATCATTAGGCGAATTGCTAATTAGTTACAAATTGTCATTCTTTAACATCGGCATGAAATCGAACTCACGCCTCATCAAAATCATAACCTATTTCTTTAGCACCTACTTTCTCAACTCCTTTTTCTGGTATCTATTTTGTTTTTTGTTTTTTTCTGTTTTTCCGAACATTTCTCAATTGCTATGATTATTCGTTCAAACACACGTGAGTGATTTTTGATTGTGAATGCACAAAAGTCACAAGCTAGAAACTGACCGTGGGCTGGTAGATGGGCTTTAGCTCATAAAACAAGCTGAGGGCCCAATCACGAGCCAACTAAAACGACACCGTAACGCCAGAGAAATAATGCTCACCATTTGTTTCCGTACCAACCGGCTAAAGTGAAGAGACTGAAGTAGATCCCCGAAGACGGAGAGAGAGCGCAAAGAGTGGCAAGGCAACCAACAATGGAAACTGGAACAACAGGAACAAGTGTCAAGGCTTCGTCTCTCAGATGGAAAATTCTTCGTCAAGCTATTCTTCGCAAACCAAACGGTGCCTTCCTCTTCCTCAATCTGTCTCTCTCTCTCTCTATGATCAAATACAGTCTGAATTTGAATAGTTTGTGAACTGTAGCAGATGAGCAATCTGAAATCGGCGTTAAGCGAATTACGAGGAAGACGAAGCAGGGCTTCAACTTGTTACCATGCCATCTCGTTGACGACCCATCTCACTCGAGCGATGTTACCGTCTGCTACACCTTGCCCATTGACTCTGCTCCCAAGCTTTACCTAACGTGAGCTTTGAATTTTGTATTTTTGAAAAGCTCATCAAAATTGAATCTTTCATTTCAATTTCTCATACTCAAACTTAAGCTTGCAAAACCCCAGAGCTCGTATAAGGGTACTGTCCAAGTTGTTTTATTTTCTCTACGTGGGACATCTGAAACATGGCACAATGAGCTGATAATATAATATTTTTATTAAAGGTTCTTGTTCTTGATACATTGTTATAGATATCTTTTATGTGATTGGTGGAATGTTTGTTTTTGGCGCAGTCAAAGAGTGGTTGACCATGCTGAACTCAGGGACTTTGAGATTTGTAATAAGTACAATATTGACAACACTGGGCTTGTTTGTAAGTTCCTATTTATACAAATTGGCTACACATCTTACTGGTTCTGGGATTCTGAACAAACATTTGGCTTCATGTATCTTGTTCATGGTTTTGTACAGGTCAGTGGCCATCAGAAGAGGTTCTTGCATACTTTTGCTTGTCACACGCAGACATGTTCAGGTTGTTATGGGTTGTTTGCTACCTTCTGATACAGCTTTCAGTGTGCATTTTGCTTCTATATGATTTCTTTGCATTTGATTTCTACTTTCTAGGTCTAAGAGAGTAATTGAGCTTGGATCAGGCTATGGCTTAGCTGGTTTAGTTATTGCAGCAGTCACTGAAGCATCAGAAGTTGTAATTTCAGATGGAAATCCTCAAGTAGTTGATTGTATCCTAATTGTATCGTGCTAAAGGTTAATAAAGATGGGAATGCTAGTTATACAAGAAACATTAAACAAGTTGGCTCATCTTATCTGATGATTTTTCAGAAATTTTGCTCGCCTAGGATTGATTTGGAGGGTTTCTTGTGCCCTATGAACATGGTTCTGGCTTGGGATCTTTTCAAACCCACAAGTCCTTTCATGTTTTGTTCTGTCTTTGTGTTATCTCGTCAAGGAACCGTCCATTACTAATAGAGTTTTTTTCCCTTCTGTTAAGTGAATTTGGAAATATCTACTTGTTTCTATTATTGATTCAAAGCCAATTTATCATTTGGTGAATCAAAACCTGTTATGTCCAGATTCCTTAATGTTTAGATATTCAGCATAATATTGACGCCAACTCTAAAGCATTTGGTGGTACAAGAGTGAAGTCTATGATGTTGCATTGGAATCAGAACGAAATTTCAAATATCTCTAGCACTTTTGATCTCATTGTTGCCAGTGACTGGTATGTTCCTTTTGCTTTTAAGTTTCCATTTGAACAATTTGTGCATTTTCCTTTTCCATTAAAAGAAGGGAGGGATTATGCCTTAGTTACCACAAAGCATGTGGCAAGTGGTATGGACTTCCCAATGATTTCATCTTTCTATCATAAAGACAGGGAATTTGGACTTAGTTGATGCCATGGTGGTTGTCTGGATAGGCCCAACCTTTTTTTGTAGACCACTTTATATTCTCAAATGGATATGGTGGATTCCTCTTTGTTTATATTCAATTCATATTTTTGATGAGTTTGGGAGTCTATTGGTGAGGAAAACTTTTGTCGATTGCAATTTTGGTTGACCTGGGGAAATCTAACGTCTTGGTTTTGTTCACTAGCTGACAAGAGGCATTTGTACTGAGTATGTAACATAATGCATGATCACACATGATTGCACACTAAATGGATTCAAATATTTATGCTTTATTTTTTGTTATATTCATTAACTTGATATGGCATATTCACAGCACTTTCTTCAAGGAATTCCACAATGGACTTGCTCAAATTGTCAAGTTCCTGTTGGGAAAAGTTCAGCCCTCGGAAGCTATATTTTTAAGTCCTAAAAGGGGCGACTCATTGGACAAGTTTCTAGAGAAAATCAAAGAAAATGATTTGCGCTTCAGCATAACAGAAAATTATGATGCAGAAATTTGGAAGCATCATACGGAGTTCATGAATGGTGCTGTTTCCTGGCCCAGCTACCAAAAAGATCACTGCTATCCCTTATTGATCAGAATTACAGTGTGAACTTGCACTCATATTCCTTCGTCAGCTGCACATATTTCAGGCAATATAGATTCGTCTCTGGCGGAATCAAATTTTGCTGGCTGAGCTGTGCTGTAGCCCATTTGAGTGTACTAATTATTGTAAGGAAATAGGAATTGCAGCGTACTGCCTGAATTCGGTACTACTTCCTCCACAATATGTGGATCCAGATCCGTAGTCACTTCAACTGCATAGTCCTTCCGTATCATTGTGTAGATCCTCCCTGTCTTTTAGTTTACCAATGGAAGCGAAAGAATGGCATTACCCTTTTTGGTTTATTGTATTTGTGATTCCTTTTTAAGTCTATAGGTCTTAGCAGATTTATAGTTTACCAATTGTAATGCAAGAATGAGATTGCTTTTTTAATTGATATAATATATTAATGATTGATTTCCCTTTTAGCATGATCTAGGAGGATGCATTGAAAGTTTTATACTTCTTGTCTGAAGATTCCTTATCTTTATTTGAGCATCAAGTCACATATTTAGCTTTTAAATACAGCCGTCCATGAGTAAACAAATACATGGACAACAGAGGACGCTGCTGAACAATGTCAAAAGCAATACCCTTTGGATCAATTAAACTAACATATTGGGAGTGGGAGATAACTTGTTTGCTTTGAAGTTGGATGTCACTGCAGGTTCAGAGCAGTGAACAAGCCTCGTCCGGTGAGCAAAAAAGTGACATGCCCTGGTTCAAATTCTTAGCTTTTATAAAGGTGAGTCTATCTCCTTGCATTCTCTGCTGTTTGATTCTTTTTTTATGAAATTTTGACTTCTTACTTAACCCGAAAACTATACGCAATTGCAAAGCACAACCTTTCTGAAGAAGCAATCAAAGTTTATGACTGATTATGTCTGATTCGATAATATGGTGCAACTTTGGGAATAATGATATTGTAGCCTTTTCATGTGAATACTGCAGTTCTCTTACCCATGCAACAAAGGTTATATCTTATGCTATGGGGTTATTTTAATCTGTAAGCGTATTGACTTGAGGGGTGAAGAAAAACTCCACAGCGCTGGTCTCTCACTGTAGTGTCAGACCCATTTTTATTGTGGGTCTCTTACATTTTGTGTGTGAGAGACCCGGGCTATGTGCCGGCGGGGCATACAGAAGTTTTTCCACAAGGATGACCCAAAATGGGTTAAATTGTTTTAAGGTAACATGTTATGTTCACATTGCTCTTCTTTTCTACTGTTTTTTATCAAATGATCAACAGATGGTGAAAAAATGATGAAAAGATGGATTACGAAGCATCACCATTGAAAATGGACCGCAGTCATGATCAAATATCAATCATCATCTTATCTCGAAGAAAAAGTTGGTTTGTTCCTGTCTTTGTAATGCTTTCTTTGTGTGGTTCCCTCCCACTCAAGTTGGTGAAGAATCACCTCTTTGTATGCATCTATATGTCCAGGATGTCAAGCTCCAAGCAACTCATAGTCATAGGGCGGCAATTTGGATCATACTTGCGTTGGCCTTTTTAGGCTGGTTTGCTTATCTTCCTAGCAATTATAATGATGTTTTAGGATCTTCTAACAAACTCAAAACATGAACCATTTCAGAATTGACGTTATCAATTGAAATCGCATATTTTCTTTTGGCTTCAGGCTGTAATAATCAAAATTGGAGACCCCTACAAGCACTACTGCTGTCCGATCATGAATGCTCACCACTTACTTCCTATTCACGCTACATGTTTGCATCAAAAAGTGCTTGTTCAAGTAAATCGCGAGTAATTGTTTTGTCAGACCTACTGTGAGGGCGTCTATTACAAAGGCCCCGCCCCCCGCCCCTCACATTAGGTCTCCCAGTATTGTTCTTTAAACATTTAACAAGGGGCAAAAAAGCACATCTTTATTTCTAAACAAATGCTCATGCTTTATTTATTAATATATGTGTATGTATTGAGCGCTAAAAATGGGGGGATTTGGAAGTGGGTGCTGTTGTTGCTTCTTTTTCTAGGACTGTCAAGATCAAGGATGCCAATTAGTGGACTCATACTCATTTGGGACATGAGTGGCTGCCTGTCTACTACGATAACTGTGAAAATGAGAGGACCAAAGAGATGACCAAAACCAACATGCTTCGGAGAGCCATGGAAGGTTGGGTTCTTGTTGAATCCCCTGCGGCCAAATCTGCAAGCAATGATGAGGCAAGTAAGTCCGACCCGGAATCCGACCCTGAACCATCAGTTGTTTGTGAAGGGGAATCTGTTGCGGATTTTACACTGTACAAAAACATATTCCGTACCATGTTAATGTCAATTATACGCATAATTAGCATATCATTGAAGTCAAATTACTATTTGAAATCAACCTCAAAAATGCAACTCAAACACTTTAAACGAAATATTCTATGACTTCACAATTGAGTTTGTTACGTCATTAGGAGAAAGAACTTCCACGCAACGGTATATCCAAATTATACATACATGTTACGTTGTTAGACTATTAAGTCATTATTTCGTTTTCAAAATTTTGTTACTCAAATAATTTTGTTTAAAATGAATAATAAATAAACAACATAATATTGTAAATTACTCCATCTAATACCTTGGGAGAAGAGAAGCGCAAAATGTGATCGTATAGTCGGCACCCGTACACGTAAACGTACTGGATGCATCGTCGTAAGCGTAGCTGTACGATTTGGGGCACGCGGACTTAAACAGCTGCGAGTACATGGACGGCTTACACGTGGAGGGTGACCCATACTCGCCGTTGCAACAGTACTCCGGGCTCCCAAACGCGTCGCATGCGCTCTTGCACGCGCCGCCGCCTTCGACTTTGAGCTCGGCGGGGCACCGACGGTTGAGGTCCGTAGCGCAGCCCGTGGACGCGCACGTACCGGATCCCCCGCTCCCTTCAACGATCATAGGTAAGTTATAACCGTCAACCAGGCTGACGTCATAGAAGTCTTGAGAACCCGAGCCGAGTGTGAACTCGGCTAGAGTGGCTGGCGGTGCAGCTCCAGCTCCGTTGCACTCGAGCTGGCCCGAACCGCAGTCGCCGGTCGAACATGAGCCGTGGCCGGAACCGTCGAAGTTGCAGCCGGTTCGGCCCCAGAAGCGGCCGGACCAGCCTGTCGGGGCTTGGAAGGAGCGGGAGCTGCCTTTGGCGAGCTCAAAGCCGGTGCTGTCCAGCTTGGGGCTGCCTGCGCTGGCTAGAATTCCTGGCCATACTGTGAAGTCACACTTGTTTGTGAATGTGAATGTGGCTCCGGTGACCCCTGCAAACCAAAACCAAAGAAAACATAAACATATATATATATATATATATATGGTCAAATTATGAATATTTTGATTGAGTTATGAAAATGTGAGAGGAACCCAAGTGGTGAAATTGGTTTAATTGTTGCAATTTTGGGTTTTTACCTTTGGCAATGATGAGAAGGAGGAGGGTGATGCAATACGAAAATTGAGTACCCATTCGGACTTTTGTGTGTGTCAAATTTGGTGAATTTAGATTGTTTAGAGATGGTGGTTCCAATCCAGGAGAGAAGAAGGATAGAAAGGCAGGGCCTTTATCTTTGATAAATCAAAAATGTCAGAGAGAGAGAGAGAGAGAGCAGAGAATGGTGTATAATTCTCTCACACAGACACTCTGCAAATGGCAAAGGATCAGTGTGAGAGAAAAGGAGAGGGAGAGAAGGAAGAAGGAAAAGGTTGAGGGAGTGGTGGGAGAATCTTACCCATCAGCTGTGAGGCTCTATTTGTAGAGAATTGTAGAAACAAGGAGGATCAAGATAGCAATGGGAGTGTCTGTATCACCACACTGTCATGGGGAAGCACTTTTGCTCTGTAAAAATATCACCTGCCAATTAAGTTCGAGCTTAGTGTTGTGAAATCACTAAACAAAATCACACTTGTTGGGTAAAGATGTCTTTCTATATGGAAATCAGCTGGAACCTGCTCGAGTGGCAGCAGCCACCTTTTCTTTTTGACACTTGTCTAAATCTTTTTACTAATACAGTTATTTAGTTTTATCCCATCACCATGAGTTTGTTTGAGTATGATTTAAAACTTTTTTTTTTCTGGTAGAATAAAAAAAATATTTCTTTTCTCTTCTGTTTTTATCTCTGTCATGAAATAATTGTCTTCTTCTAGAACCCAACAAGAACAAAAAAATAAAAGAAACAAACCTATAGTGATAAATGATAATTATTAAGATGAAGAAAAGACCATGGCAAAGGCGTGTGGGAGGCCACGTGGGAGAATATCATTGGAGTCAAATGCACTACGAGGCACCACGTGTCCACTCATATTAGTGCGGTTTCAATTTGCTCACGGAAGATTCTCATGTCACTGAAGTAATTAAAAAGGCAAAATCACATGCAAAATGACATGTGTCTAGGAGGCTAAGAACCCCCGTAACAAGGCGGGGATTTGGTTTAGAGGCGGTTTACGGTGCCGTCATTGCATGACGGGGAAGCCAACGTTGCCTCAAATTAGGAGGCAAGTCACATGGTCTTAATGCGGGAGCTTTATATCATGTGGCCAATTGTGGTGGTTGGTTAGTTGGTTTTCATGTGCTTGAAAAGCTTTTCTCAATCCGGAAACCTTGCTCGAGAAGAAAGTTATCGTGAGAATGATATTGGTGTGTGGTGTCGGCCAAAAGTTAGATTGTCACTCTTTATTGGTTTTACGGTTTCAGTTATATGGTTGCTCTAGTTGATCAAGTGAGTAAAATTGTCACTCTTTATGTTTGTGCAATTTTGTCATTTTGTATCCTCCGTGTTGGACACGGGTGTGCGAGGGTCTGACACTTCGACACTTAGGCTTAATGAAGTGTCCATGCAACATAGCCTCTAAATTGTCTTGATTATAAATTATGAAATTGAAACAGTGCTTCACTTCCGATTTGAAATTTATGGACCCAACACATGTACGATATGATATATATATATATATATATATATATATATATACTTCTTATTCAAGTCGATAGTTTTGTCTGAACTCTGAAACATCTGAGAGGAAAAGAAGATTTGATGAAGCCAACAATCCACATGGCTGGGAAATTGCAGAACCTTATGGGAAAAGGATGGCGTGCCCACTTGTATCCAAGTTCGTTGGTCGTTTCATTCAATCTTTTGTTTGAGTCTTGTTTTTAGCTTTTCAGTGGGGCAACAATGTCTAGCTTTCTAAAGGGGCAATGCCATCTTATATATATTGAAAGATAAGCCTTTTCAAATCTGAAGTAAAAAAAAGGGTTATGCAGATAGAGTCTACCTACCTAGTTTATAGCAGGAGATGACTCAAATGCATACTTTTCGACCTTCATTTTTAAAAAAATAAATACATAATTTGGACTTTGCATGCAAATTGTCCCCTTAAGTTGTTTTCTGACTGTAATTTGGGTTGATGTGTGCTAAACGCCAAATGCGACTATGGTCAAAAAATAAGAAAGCGAAAATTGTTGAATATATGACTTTATGTAATTTGAGTAACTCATCAAAATTTCCTTTTATGTCAAAATTTCTTCTCTTCCTCTTTAACTCAGCTTTACTTCCCTTTCGAATTCTCATATTCCATTCTCAAAATTTTATAAGTAAATACTAGCGTGAATTTGATGTACATTATTTACTTATTCTCTCACAACTTAAGTTTTTGGGATTAAACCAATGAGGGTTAGTTTAGTTGGTAAGGTCTTTGGACTGTGTGTAGCCCCTACCAATGTTCGAGTCTGGTTGCTAGCAGTCCTCATTGGTGCGCGATCTGTAATTTCCTACATAAATCCATACCCGTGACAGTTAATAGTTGGGTGTCACGCGTAAGTCTTTTTAAGGCCAATCTCACCCTAAACTTTTTTCTAAAAAAAAAAAAAAAATAAAACGAAAAAAAAGAATTTTTTGTGTTTTAGAGAAGAGATTTATCCAATATCTCTAGCCAAACTAGAGAGTGAATTTAGTGACTGGCCTTGGGTTTGAAGGGGAGTGTTAGTATTGATTCCCGCATTGCCTAGATATTTTTAGAATAATATAGTAGTATTATATGAGTACATTAACACCCTTTCCTTGTAAGCCAGTTTTGCGACAATGAAAATTCTACCGTATTGTTGGAGCAGGATTTCTTTCAAGAAGAAATACCTCTACAGGTTTTTGACTGAAGTCAGCATGCTTCTTTGGTTGAAATTTGGTCCCCACAGTGCCCCCATTTTTTCCTTTCTACACGCTTCGTGGGTGGAGAGGGAAAAACGATTTAAGTGGGACTTTGAAGCAGGATTTCTTCGGATTGGACGCATGATGTCATGATAGGCTCATGGCTGAGCCCAAATAAACAGTTCATTTTCTTTCTTGGGCTTGCTGGTCAAACCCAAAAATATAATTATGTTGGACCATTGTCAACCAATGCATGTTGTTGACCTTTCATGCATGTGTATCCTTGCTTTCATCTCCCGCATGTGAAACATCCATGTGTGAATTTTTCATGCGCATTGCTGACTTTTCAAGTTTCAACTATGGACTTTTAGCCCTATGTGAAATATCTAGGTATAGACAGCCAATCCCATGCACAAGTGGGCCCTTTCACTTTATTTTGGACTTTTGCACCTCTGCCGATCCAGTGGGCTCATGCAAATTTCTTTCTCTTTGCTAATCGATCCCAAATGGACCCTAGTTGGGGTGCGCTTGGTTTTAGGCTTTAGCCAATCCAGTGGGCCCCATGCTCTTTGCTTTCTCTTTGCTAACCGATCCCAGATGAACCCCAATTGGGGTGCGCTTGGTTTTAGCCTTTAGCCAATCCAGTGGGCCCCATGCTCATTGCTTTCTCTTTGCTAACCGATCCCAGATGGACCCCAGCTAGGATGCGCTTGCGTTTGAGCTGATCTTCCGAACCCCAATGCCCTTGAATTGTCCTTCTGGACCCATGCACCGTCGGTTTCTCAGCTGATCCCAGGTGTCCACTTTTTTTTTTTTTTTTTTTTTTTTTTTTTCTTTTTTTTTTTACGTTGGAGCTAACCTTGTGGACCCCAATACCCCTGACTTATCCTACCGGACCCATGCGCCTTCGATTTCTCAACTAATCCAAGTCCGGTGCATGCTTTTTTTTTTTTTTTTTTTTTTTTTTTTTTGCTTGTGCTTAACCTTATGGACCCCAATACCCCTGAGCTGTCCTTTTGGACCCATACGCCTTCAATTTCTCAATTGATCCAGGCGGTCCATGACTTTTATTTTATTTTTAGAGCTTGCACTTGAGCTAACCTTGCGGACCCCAATACACCTGAGATGTCCTTTCGGACTCATGCGCCTTCAGTTTCTCAACTGATCTAGGCGATTTATGACTCTTTTTTTTGTGTGAGAAAGTGAACAAGTCTAGCTCCGTAGGTGTACTCATTACTTGCACCACTTATTGCTTATACATGTTGCTCTTCTTTGTTTTTTGTCGAAGTGCATGCAGCTTTCTGTCAAAGAAACGAATGCATTGGGTAGAGATAGCCTCGATTAGTTATATTAGTCCAGGCTTTGTTGCCAGAGCCTAAGGCGAATATCTGAGTCGGCCGTATCAAGTCTTATCTTTGCAAAAACCCTCCCTTGTGATTTTTTTATTTTTTTTTTCCTAAACTCACACTCTCTGCTATAAAAGGTCAGTCGATAGGGATACATTTCATTCGTAAAACCGTTCATACTTTGCTTTTGTTATACATATAAGATCTAGGCGTGAAGAAAGAGAAAAGTGTTTGTTGCATTTGAAAACTCTGCCAAAGGTTTCTTGTTCTTGCTTCGACCCAATAAGTACTATTTTCATCTTTACTATTTTCATGTCAAGGCACGAGATTTGGCCCAAATCTAGTGGTGTCCCATCGAGCTACAAGATACTTAAGGCTAGTACTAAATGATGTGTTCCCGACAACGTGGGGATCGATCCATTTCCTTTAGGTTCGGATATGTACATTGGTGCCGGTATCCCTCGGGGCTCCTTAATTCTTTCGCCGGCCCACCAGAGTATATTAGGTTTCCACTCCATCCCTTTTTTCATATGCTCTTATTCTTCTTGGACCTTCACCTCATGCAACTAAATCTAAATTCTTACCTTCTCATATTCGATTTTCTAGTCGTCGAGTTGAAGTGGGGTGTGTCCCTTAGCTTTAAGGATTTCATCTATCTCCACGACTTAGCTTGTGTTAGAGGGGAAAGTCACTATTTCCTTTTTACTCCTGGGTCTGGTAAAAAGACATTTCCTTGTAAGCTCATTTCCACCAAGTATTGGAAAAACCAACATCTCTTGATTACTGGGGAGTGGCCGGCGCCTAAGATGTCAACATGTCTATCTCATCGGTGTTTGGCTCAAAACCTGGTATAATGATTCATGCCTTTGAAATATAACTTATTGTTTTTTTGCGGGTCTAACTAACCTTTTCTTTTGGTAGTACTTCCTTCAAACAAAAGGTACCTCATTCTTGAAGACCGAATCACTTGGTTGGAGGAGAACTTGGTAGGTCAGGGGTGGGATATCACACGCTTCATCGACTCTGCGATTCTAATCTGTCTCTCCACTGCTTGTCGTACAGCAACTTACTTCCCATTTATTTTGGCTGACTCAAACTTGCACGGAATAGACTTGTTCAAAGACATTTGCTTTGTCGACGTCAAGCTTTGTTGTGCTGAGGATTCAGCGTCTCTTATCCAGCCAGTTTTCAAGAAAGGGAGGCTAAGTTAACTCAGCACAGCAGCTCCGAGGATTGCGCATCCGGGTTTGAGTATGATCATTCAAATATGTCAGCGCCACGTTCATTATCGGTCTCGAGCCATAAGGAAATGAGACCGGTAAAAGAGACCGAGCTCTCCGGGGTTGCGAAGAAGTCCCGTCATGCTCCACAGGTCGTTTTGGGTTTGGGTTCACCCAATATTGCATCCGCCTCGAGTGCTCCGTCCCGACCTCAGCAAGTCTCTCATGCTCCTACTCCCGCTAGCTCACTGGGTGAGAATGACTTCACGGCTATGAATGATGAACAGATGTGGGGCTACCAATCACAGTGCTTGAGTGCGGTATGATAACGTTTAGGATGTGTGGCGGTGTCATCCGATTGTCATGTCTTAGCATAGCTGCCTGTCTAATGCTTACTTTCTTATTTCTTGCAGATGGTTAGAATTCGCAATGCGTAAATGGCGAGGTTCCAGGCTATGTGCCATGAGATATGATAAAAGACGGCGACCCTCGAACTCAGCGGGAAGCGCATCAAAGAATATTTAACTGAGCTTGAACAGCAGTGGGGAGAGCTGCAGAACCTGAGATGTGGCCAAAGCACTGCATTGGTGGAGGTTGATCGCATTAAGTAAGAACTGGTGGATGCTGCACGCAATAGGGACGAGGAGTATCAAGCCAACACCAAGCAGATCAAGGTCGAAATGGCCAGGCAATTCAGATACGGTTAGGTTCAAGGTCAACAACTCCCTAAGCACTGGTTTGTGGGGGGGGGGATCCAGATAACTATGACGATGAGTTGGGATTTGATCTCGTTGTCAAGAGCCAAGAAAAATCTCAACATGTCAAGCACTTGGAATAGTTCGTAACCAGGATGCATACCCTGAAATAGTTCATAACGAGCGGGATCAAATCCCAACTCATTGTCATAGTCATCCGGATCCCCCACAAATCGATGCTCAGGGTGCTGTTGACCTTGAACCCAATCGTATTTGAATTGCCTAGCCATCTCGACCCTGATTTGTTTGATGTTGGCTTGATACTCTTCGTCCCTATTGCGTGCAGCATCCACCAGTTCTTACTTAAGACGATCAACCTCCATCAATGCAGTGCTTTAGCTGCTTCTCAGGTTCTGTAGCTCTCCCCGCTGCTATTCAAACTCAGTTTCATATTCCTTGATGCGCTTCCCGCTAAGTTCAAGGGTCGCCGTCTTTTCGCATCTCTCATGGCTCATAGCCTGGAACCTCGCCATTCTTTGTTGGTTTGGAGGGTGCAAGGTAAGGCCATATCTTGAATTTAGAAATACAAGAATGTCAACAAATATCAATATATGAAGCAATGAACTGTATGGAAATAAAGATTTTATATCTAAAATGAACTGTATTTATACTCACCCCATGAGTTTTTCGGTGTTTTCACAACATTCTCGGGGTTTCAAAAATTACACGAACACCCTCTTAAGTCTTAAATAATTTTCGAGTTATTTATACTAGCTAACACACCTCTGATTTTTTATTTTTTATTTTTCACAAAATATCTTTAAGCCTCTCAAGTGATAAGTTATAGAGAGTTTCACTAAAACACCCAAAATGGAGGTTGAAATTATAAAAAAACCCAACACCCAAAACACTTTATAAACACACCAAAAACTCATCATTACACACACTCAAAACCCATTTATAAACACACCCAAAAAGTTGACTTTGAGGTTGATTTTGGGTGTGTTTCTATGTTTAAATAGTGCTTGGGTTTTTTTTATAAATACATGTCTAGGATTGGGTTTATTTATAAATTTGTATAAGTTATATGCCGTGGAAAGTACATGTGCGGATAAGATTTTTAGCTTTTTCTTTTTCATCAGCATCATCATCGATCCATCGATCCATCGATCATCCTCTTGTTTTGTTTTTGGTTTCAGCACTCCTTTTTCCTTTAGTATAAAGAGAAGTACGTCACCCAACCCACCATACGACTTTTGATACTAAAAAAAACATTCTTTAAAAGAAAGAAAAAAAGGTTTATGCAATCGGGAATCCTTTGTTTTTTAAGCCTTAATTTCACTCTATAATTAAACTTGCTTTTGTAATTGTAATTTTGAAGGGGAAAGGATGGTATTATGAATAATTAATGGTGAAAAGGGGAAAAGGGGGGATATTACACTAAAGTTGGCATAATCAGACAGACATGATAAGGATATATATGCAGAATAATAAGATGCATTTTGCGATATAAGAAAAAGTAATATAAACGATACAAGTTTGCATGGGGTCAAATGAAGGAATGGAGCTAGGAGGCAATAGGTTGTAAAGAGTAGCTTTGGTTTTGCTTATCAAGATATGGTTATTAAAAGTGTTTTTCTTTTTCCTTTTTCCTTTTTTTTCTTTTTGAATTCCTATGTATATTTTGTAACTTTGTTATTAGGTTTAGTTGTTCACAACTCATAAAAATAAATATGTACTTGTCAAGCAATTAAAAATTCCTAGTTGATGACCATATCCTATCATGAAGAAATACATAGGTTTCATCCAACAATTCGTAGCTATTATATGAGTTTTCAAAAGCCATAATCACCATAAAAGAAGTACAAAAGTTTGGGAGAAGGCATCTTGAATTGAAGGCTTAAGAGCATCCGTAATAGTTGTTCAACAGTTCAATAAGTTGATCTATTTTGGCATCTATGAAATTGAACTGTAGTTTTACTTACAATGGTACAATTCAATAGCTTTATATCAATAGTTATATTTACTTACATGTTTTTTTACATACTCAAGTAAAATAAAAATGATAAATTTAATAACACTAAAAAATTGTACCATTGAAATATTCTCAAAGATATCTTTAAAAAGAGACCAATTTTAAATATATTTGTAAAAAAAATTAATTGTTTTTTTTTTAATATTGCATTGAACTATATGAAAAACCATTGCGGATGCTCTTAACAACATAATGCATTAATTGCTGTATTTTTTTCTATTTTTTTATTGTATATGGGTCTCATGGTTAGTCTATTACAATTGTAGTATAGGGTTCATCACGTAGCACCCTCTATTGCAATGAACTAAATCACACCATTGCAAGTGAGATTTTACTGTTTTACTTCAATTTCATGCAATAAAATTGCATTGATTCTAACCATTGCAGGTGCTCTAAAGGAGAAATTGCATGGAAAACTTGATTCTCTTAATATGACAGAGGTTATAATGAGAGTTAATTGTCTGATTTAGTACAGAGTTATGCTGGATTGAAGACGACGATTAAATTTAGCAAATTTGTAAGTCCCTTTCGACAGTTTTGGCAGCCCTCTGAGAGATTGAATGCTCAAGAGCCCAAGAAATTGCTCAAGCTTTTAGACCTGAGCAAGAATAAAATTGAATTTTCAAAAGTTGGTTCTTTTCCCATCGCAGCCACCAAAACGTTCAACGTCTTCTGCTTCCATTAAAGTCCTCTTAGTCAGAATGAAAGTGATTATGTTGGATGAATATGAGCAAATCTTAGAAAATCAAGTGTGAATCAATTAAGTTTCTATAGCTAAAGTTCAACATTACACCACATTAATGCACATTAGAAAATGACAGATTTTTGTTTTCAACAACAGATAAAGAGATGCTTTGCTTAAAGGAAGCCAAATTTGAGTTTTCAAATACTTTGAATAAAATATCAAATACTTGAACATACCCACATGATTTTATTTTTTTTTGGGTCACATCCGAAACCAAAACTTGGAATACATCTTTTTGATCTTTCTTTCCCATGGACGGTTTGTCCAAAATGTACACGTGTTAACTTGCCTTACAAATTTTATGCATTGTTGTCTGTAGTGTTAGTGCATGGGGATATGAAGTCGACGTAAACTATATAGTGTTTTCAAACAAAAGCTCCAATTCAAAATTCCCACCTTATAAATTTTATGCATTGTTGTCTGTGGTGTTAGTGCATAAGGATATGAAGTCAACGTAAACTATATAGTGTTTTCAAATGAAAGCTCCAATTCAAAATGCCCATTGAAACAATATATGTGGATGTGATCACAAGCAGTGGCGGTTCTACAGCAAGGGTAGGGTAGGTGCCTACCCAAATTTTTTCACCAAAAAATTAAAAACAAACCTATATGTAAGCAAAGCTATTCCTACCCATTCCATGTAGTGGTGTGAACCCATGCCTACCCAAACTTAAGAGCAACCCACGTGTTATATCGCCCAGTCAAACTTAAAAAAAGAAAGGGAGCGAAGCAATATAAGTAAGCAGCCAATTCCCTTTCGGCTGTGCAATAGTCGACAATTCCAAATCATTATCTTTTGTAGTTTCTTCGTGAGTATGGACAATCTCTCTTGGTAGCATTTTCTCATATCTAAGGCCAATAAGTATTCTTCTATTGGCTTTTTCCTAAAATAAATGTATGCATCTTAAGTTTTTTAATAGTTTAATTTAGTTTTAGATTTAAATAGTTTAGTTTTTTGTTGCATTGCATTATTTGTTCTTTTTGTTTTTTTGTTTGTTAAGTTTTTACATATGAGTGTAAATCTCATTACGCTCTTCTCGACTAGGTGTATCTTTTTATTTTTATGAATGAAATTCACTCGTACTGTCGAGTTTTTAAGGTAAGTTTCGCCTACCTGACTTTTGAATCATAGATCCGCTACTGATCACAAGTAAAAAGAAACTTGTTTGCCCCAATTTTGGTGTTGCTGGAATTCTTTTATCACAAAAAGGAAAGTTGGGAAAGTAGCTACAAAAAAATTAATTAAAGCTTTACAGCAGCAGCTTATATCCTGGAACTATTTGTGGAAATAAAGTATTTTTAAAGAAAAACTGAATGAATAGGATATGAGAAATGGAAAAAAAAAGCACCGCCAAGTTGGATATAGCTTTCCTTTCCATGCAAGCAGCATTGTAATGTCTAGGTGTTAAAGCTACTTAACTGATCAACCTTTTTATCCACCAGAAAAAATGTGGAAAAAAGCAACCAAAAAAAAATTGTGTGGTTCCTTCACAATCTAGCCAAGACCCAAGGACTATAACAGATTGGTGGCTCTAATTAATCATAATATTTTCCCCTTTAAAAAAACATTTTTTAATTAAGTTAGAAAAATAAATGGCTTGGTAAGTTAGTAGAAAATCTTTATTAAAAAAATTATTTAAAAAGAAAGTAAAAAGAAAAAGAACTCTGGGTCCTCTAGCACGATGCAATGCATTAATTCAATTTCATCCCACTAATTCAAAAGAGATAAAGTTGATTTGTTACCCTAATTATAGAGTTGATTTGTTGATGAAGTATTTTAGCAGAAAAACCTCCAATCTAGTCCCCATTAGCAGACTCAAAGAAGCTCAAATCCACTCCATAGCAGGTTGACAAAAACAGTGGGGAGGTCCTCAACAGTAGCAGGCAAAAACAGGCATGAGGCATGTCGCACCACAAACCACACTTAGTTTAGTGCTAATGACAACGAATTAAGAGCCAATAATTTATAGAATCTTGCCATCTTGTAATAAATAAATATAAACCAGGAGGAGAGACAAAAGAAAAGTGATAAAATACCAACTCGGCTCAAGTACCATATACTAAAAACTAAACCCATCTTGTTGGATTTAGTTGCAAAACAACTACATTTCCAGCTAAATTATTCTGGCTACTCTCTCTCTCTCTCTCTCTAGTCTCTACCATATATTATATAATATTTACATCACAATCAAGAAAGAGATTAGGGCATGGCAGCTAAACTAACTCTCTTAATTTGTCCTTTAAATTCTAAGGACGTGGATCATGGAGTGTATGTGTTTGTATGTATCACTAAAGTTGCGCACAAAGTTGTTCTTCCAATTTGAATGGGCCATAGCTTTGCTACGACGCCGTATGGTAACCCCCGATACAAGTTGCAATCTCCGTCGGGATTGTGGGCTCCACGGCTCCAACGTCGGACCAAAAATCTGGGCCCACCACTCAGTCTCAACAGTGAACTCTACTAAAAAGGTCAACAACATCTCTCTCTCAGACGATATTTTTGTTTTTCGGGGTGTGAAAACTGCCGAGAGGATCAAAATAGTTGGCGCAACCGCCAAGCTGCCGCCAAAACAATGACGCCAAAAACGACGAAGCTCGGTGTCGTATTGCGTGAACTTGTTGAGACACCGGCCGCCACTGGGTATTGCCCATTTGATGACTTCAAACTGCACCCACCACCAATATTTCACACGAGAAATCAGAAATGGCAGCCCGAATTTGTAATATTTAATAAATATATAACATAATGCTTGCACTGCAGGTCATAAAGTAAGGCCGGTGCATCATGCATGTCAATTATTAATACAAGACGTGACAACCATATCTTATTAAGTTGACAATCCAGAAAAATGATCGAATCCCAACCGACCCATATGAATAAAATCCAAAACATTGGCAAAATACGGTTTTGCCAGCTATAATACGACAGTAACATCAAGTGGCGGTATAATTCGTGTTTTCATATACCAATAACATGTCACGTGATAGTACAATCACAAGATCAATTTTGGAAAACCAATTTAGTGGAATGTCTAGACTGATTGCTACCTAAAATCTACAAATATTAGATAAATTTGGATGTGAATGACACAAGAACCAAAAGAAATAAAAGAAGAGTGAAGACGGTACCTGGTGGAAGGGGAAGGGCAGAAAGTGATGAGATAATTGGCGGAGGCGCAAGTGAAGGTGCTGGTGCCGTCATCATAAGCATAGCTGTAAGCTTTCGGGCACGCATTCTTAAAAAACTGCGAATAAGAACTGGGTTTACATGTGTCTGGAGTCGCGTAGGCCCCACTACAACAGTACTGTGGGTCCCCAAACGCCTCACAGGCGCTTTTACACGCCACGCCCTCGTCACTCGCCGTCACCTTGAGCTCCGACGGACACCCGGAGTTCAAGTCCACCCCGCACCCGGTGGTCGTGCAGTTCCCTCCGGTCCCACCCTCAGGCACCACCGTCATGGGGAGGTTATAACCGTCGACGAAGCTGACGTCATAGAAGTCTAGCCCGCCAGCCCCGTTCAGCGTGAATTCGGCTAGAGTCGCTGGCGGGGCGGCCCCACCACCGGCGCATTCGACCGCAGATGATCCACAGTCACCGGTTAGGCAAGTGAACTTGTCCGTGGTCGGGTCTTGGGAGCATAGAGTCCGCCCCCATAACCGACCCGACCAGGAAGTAGGAACGGAGAAGGTGTTGGACTCCCCGGAGTTGAGAGCGAAGCCGGTGGTTGGAAGCTGGTCCGTCCCGGCATTTGATAGAATGCCCGGCCAAATTGTGTTGCTGCACTTGTTTGTAATTGTGAACGTCGCTGAATTCCCACCTGTGATGTCCACAAGCACATAAAATGCATGAGGTAGCGTTATAGAAATGTTCGAGAGTGAAAAAAAAGAAAAAGAAACAGAGAATGGGTTTATGGGTTTCGTTGCGTTTGTGTCATTATACCTGAAATGGATTGAAGAATACAGAGAGAGAATAGAAAGGTTGGAAAAAACTGATGAGAAGCCATTGAAAATGAATGCCTCTCTCTTCTTTTTTCCTCCTCCTTTTCTTTTTAGTTAGTCATGGAGGGAGGAGTATGGTATTTATAAGGGATGGGGTGAGGAAAGTGTGTCATGTGAAGGAATATGGGTGTGGGGTCCAAGCCCATGTTTTCACATGGAGGAGGAGGCCAAGTTCTTCATTTATAGGTTTTAAGGTCGGCAAACTCATGTGTGGATTTGTCTCTAATTTTAGTGGTGGCAGCAGGTATCTGTCGAGAGCCATATAATATGTTTTTAAAAAGAGCATATGGTTGTAGTCAGAGTCTGAAACATTGATACTATCGATGAAATATTAATGCTATTTCGGTTCTTTCGGAACATATCTATGTACATATCGTATAAATATTGGCAATATCGACGATAATATCGGAAAATATCGATGTAAAGGGAAAAAAAAAGGAAAAAGAAGAAGAAAAAAAAACACAAAGGGGATTTGAACCCTTCCCATTTTACTCCTCAAACACCTTAACCACCATATATCACTTATGTTTTAGTGATAATATGGTAAAATATTTATATTTATATGGGTAGCATGTTAACAATTACATACAAAACTATTTTGGGGATTTATCATTTGATGAATACTCTTCACAATACACTTACTCTACACATAGAGATGATGAAGATAGTGAAAAATTTGAACCTCATAGGAACTCTATGTGGTACTAAGTCACTCATGTGTCTTACCATGCAATGTATAAAGTGTAAAATATTGTAGTAAATCATTATATATAAATGATTATAGTGTGTTTAATCTTTTTTTCATTAATTACTACATATTTTCTACACTCACAGTGTTTGCTAGCTCGCTGTATAATCAACTTAAATTAGTTAAATCCATCATGTAATGCATTTCCTTCTAATTTTTTTTTATAAACTAATAGATAATTGACTAAATAAACATTCTCCAAAGTTTCAATAAAAATTTCCAAGTTTTTTTTACAATTTTCGTGGTTTTTATTCAAATTTTATCGATATTGATAATATCTCAATATTTCCATGGAAATTTCCATGCTTTTGGACTACCGATATTTTCGATATCATCGATATTTTAGACCATAGTTGTAGCATAAAGAGCTTTTGGAGCCATGCAAGGGATATGGTTTTTATTTATTTATTGGGATTTTCCGAAGTTTTTGTATAAATGCCGCCTTATTCCCAAGCTCAGAAAGTGCAGCTTCGAATTATATACTTTGGATTTGGAAGTGATCCGATAAGGGCTCAGCCCCGGGAGCTTTCGGTGTATGATTTGAAAAAATAAAGTTTCCCTCACTGAGAAGGAGCAAATATCCACCATACACTATTATGTCAGAGTAATGCACTAGGGAACAGCCACGTGTTTAAGACATTCTAACACCAGTCTCCATTCCTAGGCCCAGGCAAAAACACACGGTTACATAACTTTGTGCAAATATCAAGTTTCTTGCATTTAGATACGTATATCATTGATGTATGTGAATCTCACGTGATAATCATTGATGTATGTAAATCTCACGTGATAACAATTTATGTGTACACATAGGATAGGACTGCGCAATGCAAAACACATTTTTACGCAATCGAAAATAAGATAATAGCAATCTCTTATGGTAAAACTTTAACCAAGTGCCTCTCCAACCTACAACAATAGCAATCTCTTGTTTTGCAGGACACAAAGTTTTGGAGCCATGCATAGAATGTCATCTTTTTGGCAAATCACAATTAAGTGGGGGTGAAATTAAGTTCAAGACTTGAATTAAGTTGTAAATGCTGGTATACAATCCCTGTCAGGCAAACATAGTTTGTAATTTGACATGGACAGGGATCCACTTCTTCAATACTAGACTTGGAAAGCCCGGTCTTAACTCGGGAGATTCATAAGATTGCTCAATTGGAAAATATTTTTCAATCATAAATTTTAATGGCAATGAGTGCGGCCATGTTGTTTTCATTCATAACAATGATACAATGATACAAGCAAGCAACTTGACAACCTGCCGAGGCCAGCCTTGGGGGTAAAAGCAACAGATGGAAGGGCGGAAGTGGCGTCCCAAAACCTCAAGGGCCAAAAAGACAGAGACCCAAAAACATTACAAACCAATGCAAGTCGTACGCAGCCCATGCTCTTTGGGTCGGTTCAAAACACAAGTTGAGGTCAACCCAGAAAATCCAATTAGATGACAACAGCCATCTCCATCAGAATTGAAAACCCAAATGGGCGGACAGATCAGGCAGTTTCTATAGGTAATTAACACTAAAAAATTGCTCCACTCAAATTTGTTCGCATTTAGTTGCACCAAGAGACACGTTTAACAATCTTTAAATGCCCATGTGTAATAAAAATTTCAAGTACCTAGATTGTGTGACAAGATTTCCAAAAATCAGAACCAAGCTAGGGTAGCAATTTGTTTGGGCCCTTGCCATTCACTACCCAAATCTATGTCCCGATTTACCGATCTGGGCCTTCATTACTCATTATATAGCAAAATTTGAACCCATCCCCAAAACTAGGCCTTCGCCCGATTATCCGTTAATACTGCATACTCAGCAGAGATTACTTGATGAAACTAGGGCATCAGCAGACAAATAGAAAATCGATTTCACGTAATGTCTTGAGCACACAAGCTAAGAAAAAGACTTTACAGTTATAAGCATATTTTATACAGTTACCATGCACTGTGGGGATAAGGATGAAGGAGATCATTCATATTCAGGGCACAAGAGAATGATCAATAATAAGCAACAATTCAAATGCGGCAGCAGCAGTAGCAAACCCTTCTACAGAAGAAAAACACAAACCACAAATGAACGTGCCTGCTCGCATGCCTAACAAGACAAGTGACATCAAGGCCGAGCTTAGGATTGTGACTCAAGCTTCACATGGAAGGGTTCAAAAAGCTTTCTTGGCTAGAGCCATACCAAACCGAAACCAAGCTTTCTTGCAACGGTTCTAAAAGCTTCACATTGTACAGAAAATCACCAATTCCAACAGACACATAGCATCACAAAACACATTGTTCATCAAATCCAAATGCTAAATACGTGTAGATCCTTCTAAATGTATTCTAGAACTTCAATTTCAATGCTTGTCAAACATAAAAACCAAAAAGTGAATAACAGGGTAAGCAAGGCACATCGAAGCTAGCACATATTCTAAAGTCAAACTGGGACAGACAATGTAACTGAGAACTGGGGCCCTTGTGGACCATATAAAAGGGTTGCTTGCAATCCATCATGATGATGGTTACCCCATATGAGTTCATTAGTCAACAAAAATCAAATCAGTATTATTTATGAATACTTGTGCACATAAGGATCAAAATCAATTTTTGCTACTCAATGCATCAATTACGAGCATCACGAATCCTAGTCCTTTAACTACTAACACACAAGCAATTGGTTAATCTTTTAACCACATTCCTAATGACCGAATCACCTGAAATTGTTTTTCAAAAACCCAAACTAAGCTAAGGTGATGTAGAGGACCATATGGATATGCCTAAAAATCTTTAGTCCACAAGACCTCCATCTCTCAATATCAACAAGATGCATTAAATAACGAGAAAACTGAAACAAAGTGCAATATCAACAACAATGAGCAAAGCAAGTGGCACTTGCTAGGAAGCAAAAAGATGATAAACTGGTATACAAATCTATGGCCTACATTCAAAGTCATATGCAGACATCTTATTCAACTTCTTCTACAACAAAAATAATTCAACATAATCAACCAGCTGCATCAATGCATAGGAGATATCATAAATTCACACTTCAAAAACAAATCAAGAGCATGTAGTGCCCCAATAAATGAGGATCTTATTCAACTTCCTTGAGGATCATCAACCAAATGCGCATTCAATTATAGAGACAGTAGATAACATACATTCACACTTCAGAATAAAAGCTGCTCATTTAGATAACTTATCCGAGAGTCACTGATAACAATATAGATAATAATTATAAAAAAAATAAGGCAACTAACTCACTCTATAGCCGAACTGGGGAAAACTTTCTTGACAAAGACTGGCTCTTATCATCCACCAGAAAAATCAAAACCCTTTTGCCAAAACATCATATGTATCGAGAAAGAAATACTACTAGAAAGACTAAAATTTAACAAAAAGATAAAGGATTTCTAAAGAGAATATTTACTATTACTCTCTTTTTATTTTATTTTTCTTCAAGCAGTAGGGCACTCCTTAGCAAAATGACCAGCCTGCCCACAGTTATAACAACCATTGCCACCTGATCCAGCACTGAATCCATATCCCCGGCCACGACCGCCGCCGCCGCCGCCGCCTCGGCCACCTGTGCTGCAATCTCTCGCCATGTGCCCATATTCCCCACAGCTATAACAAGCACCAGAACCGCCGCCGCCGCCGCCGCCGCCGACGGCACCAGAACTACAGTCCCTCGCCAAGTGCCCAAACTCACCACACTTGTAGCAGTTACCACCGCCACCGCCACCGCCGCCGCCGCCGCCACCGACACCAGTCCCATTAGGGCAGACCCTCGCCACGTGGCCATAGCCACCGCAAGAAAAGCAACCACCACCGCTACCGCCACCGCCACCGCCACCAGCGCCGCGATTGCAATCCCTAGCCATGTGGCCGGGCTCGCCGCAATTATAGCACGAAGCGCCACCGGCACCGCCTCCATTCCGCCTATCTCCGCCTCTCCATCCACCTCCAAATCCAGAACCGCCACCACGACCACCGGAGCGGCCGAAGCTCTCCTTCCTGTTACCCTGCAACGGCGCGCCGTTAGGACCAGTGACGTCGATGGCTTTGGTCTTGCCGTCCTCGCCGACGGCGATTTGGAACTCGACAGACTCGCCCTCCGCCACACTGCGGAAGCCGTCGGATCTGATGGAGGATTGGTGAACGAACAGATCTTCGCTTTCGATATCGGGGGTGATGAAGCCAAAGCCCTTGGTGTCGTTGAACCACCGGACCTTCCCAGTCGATCTCTCCTCCGCCATGGTTGTTGAAATTCCCCGACAGAGAGAAAAGGTTAAAAAATTTATGTTGATTTATGCGAGAGAGTGTTCGTCTTTATATAGGAGAGAGCAGTGAAGGCAATAGCAGAGACAATCTTCGAGAATTATAGTTTAATTTAATTAAAATATATAAACAAAACCCTAATCCGCCTCCGGCCCGATTCTAATTCCCTTGGGCTTTTGATTTTCCCTTTACCTTTACGGTTTTTAGAGCTCGGATCTGCTACTCTTTGGGTGCATTCTAAGAAACCCTGCTCCTACAATTTTTTGGTATTTTTTCCTGAAACTATTATTATGAAATAAATCAAATAACAAAATACGCGTTGAGCAAATTTGATATGAATTTTTTATTACGTTAACTAATTGTTACTCCTTCTTAACTCAAGTTAACGTGATATAGAATCCTAAAAACTTATTTATCAATCAATGTATTTAGAGGATACCACGAGTATCTGTTAGCGATTTTGTAAAAACTCTAATGCGGCCGATTGATCTTAACAAAATTCATATTACAATTTTAATAATTTAGATTAGGCTATACGGTGATAAGTTTGATTTATGAAAAATAAAAGAAGTTTCATGTTACAAACCTTCTTGTTTTTTTTAAATATTGTTATAGTATCAAATGAGAGAACAAGACGCAACCACAAGGCCATTGGCGTGACTATTTCCTAACTGTTATGAAATACCATGGCCGCTAGTGTGAAGCAAAGGACGAGATCATAGGAATCATATGAAATTTTTTACTTAAATAAGGACGGCAATTTTATTTTCTTGCCTTAATCTAATTTCTGATCAGTAACGCAATTTAGAGTGTAAAAGTTGAAACAGGCTTCCACTAGAGTGTAACATTCGACCCTCAGAAATAAAATTCTTGGGGGCCATAATTATAGTATATAATAATGGGGGGCGGCCCTCCCCCCATCCAAAAAAAAAAAAAAAAAAAAAAAAAAAAAAACAGAAAAGCTTTATCTATCACACTGCAGTGGAAATCATTCAAGAATTGCTGTTTAAACTTTTAAGTAAAGAGAGAGAGAATTGCTGTTTAAACTTTTAAGTAAAGAGAGAGAGAGAGAGAGATATTTGTACAAAGTGACCAGAAATTAGTAGACTTCCACATTCCATTGCTCTGCTTTCTTCAACTTCTTCTTGTAGTCTGTCCAGTCAATGCCTGCAAAATATATCAAACACAAACACATTGGTCCTTGGAGGCACATGATATAGAGATCTTCCATGAAAGTCTCAGCAATTTTATTCTATCTTGTTACCATCTTTAGCAGCCAATGACACCATGATGTCATCAATTCCCTTCTCCATTCCCTTGAGACCACACATGTAGATGTAGGTGTTGTCTTTCTTGAGCAACTCCCATAGCTCTTCTGCATACTGAGCCATTCTGGTTTGAATGTACATCTTCTCGCCCTTCTCGTTGGTTTGCTCTCTGCTGACAGCGAAGTCAAGCCTGAAGTTTTCGGGGGCCTTCTCTTCCATTTTCTCAAATTCCTGTGTTCCACAATAATCTCTTATGAATTCAAATTGTTTAAATCATATGATTCTTGCGAAAGAAAAATGAAGTGACTGATAATTGAAGTGAAGGAACTTTGAACATGCTCACCTCCTTGTAAAGCAGTGAGCTACTTGTGGGAACACCCAAGAAGAGCCATGCCAAACCATTGAACTGCATGTCATGTCAAAATTTGATCATTCTTTAGACGAAGAGCTAATCAAGGAAGAAATAAGGATTCACCAGCCATATAGGCACTTGAGGAGATTGTTTTATGAGGGCTTTCATTGAGAAAAGCCTCTGTAAAACTACCACATTGTTATCTTCTTTTTAAGATTAATATGGGATTTTCTTTGTATTCATGTTGTGAGCTGATTATTTCATGTCATAAAAGTGTCCGAAGAAAAAACCAAGAAGTACTAATGTTTACCTTGTAGTCTTCATGCTTCTCAAAAAACATTTTCCACAAGAATGATCTGAAAGGAGCAATTCCAGTTCCGGTTGCAAGCTGCATCAGCAAAGAAATTCTGTAAACCGGTACTATTCACGGAGGGTTAAACATTCGAGTATCCAGTTTGCTTCCTGAAAATAACATATGGTAAGTATTTATACCATGACGATGGTTGCATTAGGATCTTTTGGCATAAGCATTTCTTTCCCAACTGGTCCTGTGACCGTGACTTCACTCCCTGGCTTCAAGTCACCTGAAATAGAGAAAACTTTTACCAACATGCACTGGCCTGTCTATTTATACTAGAATACTAATTTACTACCACAAATAAATCGTTTCTCATTAGACACGAAACAGCATACAGCCTAGGTTTTTATTCTCAATCAAAAAACCTCAATGAAATAATTTTATAGAACTAAGAGGTATGTGTCCTTACACAAAAAGTTTGAACACACTCCTTTAACAATTTCTCCTTGGTCATTGGTGTACACAAGCCGTTTCACACACAGAGAAACCTGGTTGGAGGCAATCAAACCAAACCACCAATTATATCTTAATTAACAAATGAAAAATTGGGTAGCAATGGAGCATGTTTACGAATTGCCAAAATTTGCAACATTGTATGTTTAAAATGCCAGCAGATTCATAGCAAATTTGGCAATCAACCTGAGCAAAAAATAACAAAAATCCAATTGGTTGTACATGTAATTGGTACAGTACAAAAACTCACAGTTTTGGAGTCTCCAAAGTCACCAAGGGCACTACTGGCAATTGAGTACAACCTCAGCTTGTGAGGCTTCCCATTCTTGTCAATACCATCTGGAATTACTCCAATGGACTGCCCTTCTCTGTAGGGAATCTCTCCTACAAGCAACCCAACAAAGCAGTAAGCTGAATGAGTTCAATATTTTAATATATCAACCAATAATTACCACAAGAAGGATTAAAGAAAAAAGAAGGGATTATTAAGACTTGATCATACCCTCAGTGCTGAAGACCATGTGCCAGGTTTCTCCAGGAGCATCATCACCAGTGATCTTAGTGTTGAGAAGGACTCTGGCAGTGTAGGGATTTTTGGGCTTGAATTTGTTAACAACCACACCTTCATCTTGCTTCTTGGATTCCTTCACAACCTTAGCAGGAGGAGCAGCCTCAGTGGTGGTGACCTGGGCTCTGATGGAAACCACTCTCCCACTAGCAGAGGCATCTCTGTAGTACAAAGGAACCTGAAAAACCAGCAACCCATGTCCTTAAAAACCAAGAAATCAAATTAAACCCCATGATAGTGCTAATGTAAATCAAAATAATTAATTACCAGGACTGAAAGTTTTACCTTCTTGAGGGTGATTCTATCAGGTGAGATTATAGAGGTCCTGCTGGGAAGAGAGGAGGACTTGGAGGATGGGAATGAGACAGCAGCAGTTACAGCTGCAGCCATGGTTGTTGTGTTAATGCTGCAGAAGAAGAAGAATAATAGGGAAGAAGAGATAAAGAGAAGTAAAGTGTGATGTTTTATGGGGTCGTAGTGAAGATTGAGAAAATTTGTGAAAATGGGATATTTTTTGGTTGGTTCTGGATTATAGATTGGTGGTAGAGATTTGAAGGCCAATGCAGTGGCAGATGTGAGGATAAGTCTTTTGTGTAATGTATGACTCTCACTCTACCTCTTAGGAGGACACTATCTTAGTTTTATTTTTGACACAATAACAGTGCAATAGTATTATTAACCAAAGTATTGTTCAAGGGTGTGTAGACATTATTAGACTGAGACACCCCTCATAAGATGATAGTGACTTTGGTCACATAAAATTAAATTGTATTGCTACAATATAAACATTCAATACAAATTGGAATTAATAAAATATAAAACGATTTTATGGTTGGTTATTATTGTCGAAGGATAATTAACACAAAATTAATAACAGAGACAAACAACAAAAGGGAATGTCTAGACCAGGCAAATAGAGATTCATGCAATCAATACAATACAAATACATAATGATCTTTGAAGCCTATATATATGCGGGACCAACAAGGAAAATATAAATCCTAAAAAACGCAACGCATGCAAGAAGAGTATTTTATTGAAGAAACCATTATAGTGTATCTTACATGTTAAGGCTCATTACTGCAATGTAATCCCACAAGTACGTTTTGTAAAATAATCAGTCAGATTTTTGAGGTAAATCATTTTAGATTTTTTCAAAAAAAGTGTGGAGCTTACGTACATATAAGAAATTAAAAAAAGATAACTCAATCTAATTAAAAAGAAACGTCAAGTTGAATGGCTATACTATATATATATATAATACAAATGAAATCCATTTGATACGATAAGACGTGGTTTGAAGCAAATGAAACCCACAATGCCTCAGTACTTTGGTCTGTTCAGCTAAAAAAAGAGACCAAAGTACTGAGGCAGAATAGAACACCACCGACCTACACAAAAATTGTTTAATAGGCTTTAACATATTCGACCAAAAAGAAAAAGAACTTGTATTGTATTGTAACACATTCTATACTGCCAATAAAAGCGCTCCTAAATACAAGCACGCGCGACAGAGCGGGTCAGGCTCTAACACCGTTTTTGGCTTTTTTTGCGGGGAAAAACAAAATCGCCGTTTGATTTGAAATTTGTTTTCTTCTTCTCTCCCCTCTCTCTCTCATTGAGAAAATGAGAAATCATTGGGTTGTTATGGAGATAGTGGACTGATAATCTGACTGAGAAGAGAACCTACAAAACTTCCTATTTGAAATTGCAGAGCAGAGCAGAGATGGTGAAGCAAACATTGGGCAGGGCCATCCAACTGGCTGACCAAGTCGCAAAGGCTTTGGACAGGGCCGTGGTGAGAGCTTCATCCCCGAGCTCAAATCCAAGGCTGAACAGCTGGCGGGGCTTCTCCGCCAACTCAGCAGCATCGACCTCGGCACCTACGATCGCCCCGTACGTGCGATCATCGACAGCGTAGAACAAAGCCTCGATAGGTGTCTGTTCCGGCTGCTCAAGCATCATTGTCCCAAATGGATCATCATCAAGATCATCAAGAAGCGTTTCCCCACCCTCATCCCCTTTGTTTCGTTCTTTAAAACGTCGAGGCTTCTGGACGCTTCAATCAACGACATGTCTTGGCTGATCCATTTTTGGAGGAACAAGACGAACGGGAGATTTGAAGTGTCTCTGCCCCGAATAAAATCAAACAACCCCATGCTGTGTCTCGTTTGGGAAGAGATTGCAATTCTTCATGACCCGGCTGAATCCTACCAAGCTCGATCTAGTGCTGCAGCTTCACTCGGTGATATGGCCAGGGACGACGTGTACAGGAAGTTGATCGTCCTGGAATGTGGAGTCGAGGCGTTGTTGAAATTGATGGAGGAGGGTCCAATGGAAGCCAAACAGAGCGCTGCCAATGCCCTGGGGTTTGTGGGATGGTCCTCGGAATGTGCCGGGATAAGTGTCGATGTATGTAAAGTGTTTGCGAAAATCCTCAGTGAAGGTTTCATGAAAGTTCAGGCTGATGTGGCCTTCGCGGTGTCACTGATCGCAGAAAGAAACCCCAAATGTAAAGATGCTTTTGCAGAGCACGATGTTGTCCGCTTGCTTGTCGGCCATCTTGCATTCGAAACTGTTGGAGTGCAGAGCAGCAAAACCCATAGCAATGACAATGACAATGCCAATGCCAATGAAGACCCGGACACCGTAGCGCAAATGAAAGCGATGGCAGCCAGAGCCCTTTTCAGACTAGCCGAGGATAACTCAGCCATTTGCCGTATCCTCGCAGAATCAACAGCACTATATAGTTTTGCAGTACTTCTGGAAAAAGGTTGTGAAAATGCTCAATTATATTCTGTCGATGCATTAATGGCGATCAAGGAAGTGGCAGAGAAAGATGCTGATTTGAGAATAAGATGTGACTTCAGTCCTAATTCCCCCACTTGGAAATATGTTGTTGATCAATTATTACTGAAGATCACCGAGAAGACAGAAGACTCACGCTTCCAGATCTCATGCATCCATGCTATTGGGAATTTGGCAAGGACATTTGGGTCAATAGAGACAAGAATGATTGGCCCATTGGTGCAGCTTCTCAATGGAAGAGAATTTTATGTTACCAAGGAGGCTTGCATTGCCCTCGCAAAATTAGCTCGGACAGATAACTATTTTCACATTGAACATTCCAAGGCAATAATAAGCGCTGGAGGTGTTAAACACTTAATCCAGATTTTGTATGATAAGAAAGCTGAATATGCGTTGGTTCTCATCTGCTATATTGCACTGCACGTACCAGACGACGAAGAGCTTGCCCAAGCTGAGGTGCTTGCAGCGCTAACGTGGGCATCCAAGCTATCTTTTATGACCGTACATAAAGAGCTGGACAGATTGCTGTGCAACATTCCATCACATGTACCAGACTGGGAAGAACTTTACCAGGCTGGGTTGGTCCCGATGCTTGCATGGGAAATCAATGGATGTTATTTGTCCGAAGAAGACACACTGCGCACATTGTTACAAGAGGCTAAGAGTAGGTTGAATCTTCATCAGAACAAGGGCTCACGGGGGGTCAATTGATTCAATCAAAAGCAAAGTGGTCTCTTAAATTTATCATTCTTTGTCATTGTGCCTATATGCGTAATTGGATTTAGAACTTCCATTTGTACCAAGAATTTGGTAATTCAGGATCAGTCTTGTGCCATTGGTTCTGGTACTTGGTATTCAGCTTGAAAATTCGCTACAATGTTCAAACCAGTGACCTGCTTTTAACAACGAAACACTACTTCTCGAGAATCAACGCGAAAAGTTAATGGATTTTTAGGTATCTTCGTCAATTTATGAAGTACGTTAGTTGGTGGCAATTTCTCACAAGGAAAAATCAGAAAACCCATCACGAGAGGAGGAAAAATTGCTAATGAAAAATTAATTGGATTACAAGTTTTGGAGACACATCATAAAAGTCAAAAAGGGCACAAACTTATTCATGTGTAGTTTGGTTTTTGAATAAGCAATTATAAGTTTTGATCTCCAACAAGTAATTATAAGTTTTGATTTTTGAATAAGCAATTATCTTCTCAAATCAAATTCAAAATAGTACGCTGGTTTTAGCATTTCTAAATTTGATTATTATGCTAAACAAACAGGGTCCGTCATGGGAGAAAATTTCAAACACCCCACCCAAAACAGCATCTATTTTAATTATGTTCACCTGATTCAATCAGTCAAATAACAGATTATGAAAGGGAGTTTCCTTTATGAATGCTCCGAAATCAGAATGCAGCAGTCTAAGTTCCATTTACATCCTTCTAACGGTGGCTCCCGGAAGTACACCCAAATGGATGGCTGCCGGGGGGTGTTACAACGTATAGAGGTTGGAGCCAGTCTATGTTAATTACATTATCTACAGAATTAAAATTCAATAGAGTGAAAAAGGTAAAGGAAGAGTTCTATAGAGCCATGGTTGAAGAGTAAAAACAAGATCTGCAAAATATCTATTCACCAATCAGGATTCAGGATCTTTTTGTGCGTGATCAGAAAGGCTATAACTAATCCCAAATCATTTCAACTATCATGGTCCATGGTCCAACTATTCAATACTGCAAATGTTAGTGAGACAAGCACCATCAGGAATCGTACATAAGCTGAAGCTCTTGTTTTGGTCAATATACAAGCACCAGCTGACATTGACTTTCCTCCGGGCAGCACAAATGCAGATTTTCCAGAACCAAAATGTGGTAAGAAAGGAAAATACAATGTTTTCAAGCCAAATGCTACCTACAATAATGAATTTCTACGTAAGTGGAGCAGCCATATATATACTCAAATTGAAAATGGGATTCATTCACAAGTATGAACATGCAACCAATTTGGCAGGTATGTGGCAGGAATATGGATACCAACCGCAACTAGTGAATGATTCTGAAATAAGCTCAACTATCTCTAAGTCTCAAAATTTAATATGAGCACACAATCTGCTACAACAGTACACATAATAGGAGGAACTCCATATCGTAGACCAATAGAGGAAAAATAAAAAGAGGATATCTTGCTTTTCATTCAATAGTAAGCTCTGTGGGTTAAGTCGCAGCACATTGCGCTACATTCGGGTTAAAGATGCATATTTAGCAAGCATTTGATACTGAAAATAGTCAATTTGATCATCCAAGAAATTAATATAGGTCTTTGCAGTCATCAAATAAGTTCATGTGTATAACAGATTCTAGAAACTTATTGCTTCAAATGAGAATTTGGTTTGGTTTCAAAAAGCAGAAAGCAATTCCTTATAGCTAAATCTTATAGCCAAATCAAAATGACTACTGCTACATCAAACATGAAACAAGTGAGCCAGCCTCACACACTTGGGTACAAGCTCCTACAGGGAATAAACTGAACAACAGCTAAAGATGAGAGACAACAATGCATGAGTTTTCTGCCAACACATATCACCAATTCAAAATCCAACAACACCAGATAGAAAACTAAAATTCAGAAAACACCTACAACATTTTATCCATTTTCCACATTTAAACCGAGAAAAATCAAATCAAATAGGCAATGCATGTTTTTCAATGGGTAGGTATGTCCTCAACCTGATTACCAATTCACAATCTCCAGTAGCCAATAATGAGAACAAAATTTCAGCTAAGAGATTCGAAAAATCAGATACGCAAGCAATTAACTGCGACATTGCGATTCATAGAGCATTGAGATTGAGGGCTCACCTAGTGACTTCGAATTCAACAATTTGAAGATCAATTTGGTTCGTAGTCCTCTAGGGCTTTTGATTTCCCAGTTTCCCAATGAGAGTGAGAGGAGGGGGAAGAGAGATAATCAATTCAATTCAAACGGCCCACCGTCTTGTCTTGTGCTTCCCCGCGGTTCCGCGAACAAAGCCAAAAACCGTTTCATTTGTCCGTTACGAGCCTGCCCGCTTTATCCATCCCCGCTTCGGGTTTAGCGGCTAGCTGGTAGCTACTAGCTGCTGCTAGCCGCTAAACACCATTGTCATCAACTAGCCGCTAAACCCTAGATGGGAAATTCATTTACTTCATTGTCATCATTTAGGGTGTAGCATACAAATAAAATATGTCCTCCACGCAGTTTGCTACAACCCTAAACTAATAGGGAGGGTGCGCAGAAAACAAACCTCTCTTCAACTCTTAAGGCTGCAGCTTTGTTCTCTCCATATAGAATATGATATCCAGATTTCTATAAACAACCAGAGTCTAACCGTTATCTAATAATACAGCATTTTCTACCTCTACTTTTTGGGCAGCAGGGCTGGAGGAAACCTCAAATACAAATGTGATGTTCAATTTACTGATGAAGATGCTCAACCATGATCGGCAAAGAGTCCAAATCACCCTTGAACTGAAGCAAGCTGCATCAAAATATCTTTTTTCCTTTGAGTGTGAAACTTTGCAAAGCGTACATTATTCCACATTGGGTTGTCCTGTAATTACATTATTCCACATTGCCTCCAATTGTATCACACTCGCCCATTATCAATCTCCTTTGGAGAGTGATTACAATTCTTCATGACCCTGCTAAATCCATCTAAGATCAATCTAATGCTGCAGTTGCACTCGGTCTGTTGGCCAGGGACAACTACCTGTACGTGGAGTTGATCATCCAGGAAGGTGGAGTCAAACCCTTGTTGAAATGGATTGATGAGGGTTACCACTTTTATTTATTTATTCATTTATTTTATTGGTTTTCAAACTTCAAGAACCCATATTGACTTTGTATATGCTGAATCTTTTCTGATTGGATCCTCCTATCAACCTCTCTTCTTTTCTCAGATAGCCACAGAATCTGCATGAAAAGTTTTCAAATTAAAATATACATTCATTTTTTCATTATAATATATAATCCTTTCTGAAGAAAAAGAAAAATAATATGTTCTATTCTATGTATCTAAGCAGTAAGTGGTAGGGTGTTAGCGGCACCGTTACTGGTGCTTCATGTTGCTTACTCTATTTTTTTGTTGTATAAGTTATAACCCTCATGTCAGAACCAGTTTGCCGATAATAAACTTGGCTTTGTACTCATGCATGATTACTTTGCTGCTGCTCCCTATGGTGCTTCTCAACTTTTATCTTATTAATCTTTTCTTATACTAATCATTGTGTCAGTTTTAATATACTTACTTTTGCTACAGAACCTAGTGCTTCTTCATCATCTCCCTCTTCCATGATTGTTGCTGCTGCCTATGGGGGGGCTATTTTGGAAGAGGGACAACAACCTGATTTCCACCTATTCAAGGAGGAAGGTCTTTCAAAAACGGTTATCCAGTTCAGAATAAATGCATTGAATCATGAGAAGACTAAAGAGTTATCAAATTTTAGAATTTGTGCGCGTTGGAACACAAATGTAGCGCTACAGAGGCTTCTCAACCGACATACTAACCTTGCACCTTTGAAAGACCATCCTATTAATGACCTACCGATCAAGATTACAATTCTGCAGGTTGAGAAGCCCTTGTAGCGCCACATTCGTGTTCCAATACGCACAAATTCTAAAATTTGATAACTCTTTAGTCTCCTCATGATTCAATACATTATTATGAACTGGATAACCGTTTTTGAAAGACCTTCCTCCTCGAATAGGTGGAAATCAGGTTGTTGTCCCTCTTCCAAAATAGCCCCCCCATGGGCAGCAGCAACAACCATGGAAGAGGGAGATGATGAAGAAGCACTAGGTTCTGTAGCAAAAGTAAGTAGATTAAAATTGACACAATGATTAGTATAAGAAAAGATTAATAAGTTAAAAGTTGAGAAGCACCATAGGGAGCAGCAGCAAAGTAATCATGCATGAGTACAAAGCCAAGTTTATTATCGGCAAACTGGTTCTGACATGAGGGTTATAACTTATACAGCAAAAAAACAGAGTAAGCAACATGAAGCACCAGTAACGGTGCCGCTAACACCCTACCACTTACTGCTTAGATAGATAGAATAGAACATATTCTTTTTCTTTTTCTTCAGAAAGGATTATATATTATAATGAAAAAATGAATGTATATTTTAATTTGAAAACTTTTCATGCAGATTCTGTGGCTATCTGAGTGAAGAAGAGAGGTTGATACGAGGATCCAATCAGAAAAGATTCAGCATATACAAAGTCAATATGGGTTCTTGAAGTTTGAAAAAACAATAAAATAAATAAATAAATAAATAAAAGTGGTAACCCACAATATCAAATATCATAGTCATGGAAATGACACAAGACTCGTCATCTCTTGGCACCTGTATATATATATAGAAATAGAAATAGAAATTAATTTAAAATCTGGAAAAACACAACAACACACTTTTTTTTCTTTCGACGAAAGGGAAAGAAAAAGACAAATATAGCAGCCTAGGGGACAGACCCCGCCCAGGAGCAAGCAGAAAAAACCACAGAGACAGACAGGCTAGAGAAAAAGAAAGCAGAGAGTAACAGAAACAACACACATACAACAGTAGGATGCAACTTTCCTCCTAGCCAGGCCCCTATAAGGTAACCAAACAAGGGCAGTCACCGGTTGCGGTTGGCTCTATCTAGCTCTGCCTGGACTAACTAGAATCATCTTAGGCTTCCTACAGTGGTGCTATTTTCTTCGACCCAAAAATAAAAATAGTGGTGCGATTTTCAAATGAATAGAAATCCACTTGAAAGTTCAAACAGAGCTCAGATATTATCATCATCAGAGTCGTTTCTTTTAATGCACTACACATGCTTTTGAGCTAAATCAAATAAATACGATTATCTTGACTGCATATAAAAAGTAGAGAAAGGAAGAGCTAAACCCTAAACCTGGAACAGTGGAAATATCTACCGCATGTGGAGCAGCGAAAGGAGGGAGAGGATTTGCTCGAGATTCTACATAAAAAGAAACATATTTAAATGCAAATAGTATAGAAGAAATATTTTTTTTAAAGAGCAAAGAGGAGTGGGGTTAACCACCATTCTCATTCTCATTCTCAGTGTGGTTTGGGGCTGGGAGACATGAAGTAAATGAATTGCCCATTTTCTAGGGTTTAGTGACTAGGGGCTAGCTGCTAGCTATAGCAGAGCAATTTTCCACCTCTTTTGCTAGGTTGTCTCCTTTATATTTATATAAGGAAAGAGATAGTGATGTTAGTGAGTCCCAATAAAGATATTTTCAATGACAGCTACCCCCCTATAAACCTAATAAACATATTTTGGCCCCATAACAGCTACCCCCTATATTTTATTACTTTTTTGCTTTATATTTCTATCTCTTTGGATAAAAACAGGTGTCCCATTGAAAACCCTAGCAGCTGCTGCTTGATCATTTTCGTCAGCACGTTATATATCTTGGTCATTAAGCCGTCCATTTAGTTCTTTACTCCTAATAGCGAGCTAGTTTGCTTTTTGGTTAGGAATTCACTTAAACAAATCAAACTTTTAAGTAGAATTACAACATGATATGATGCCCATGGCGCTATTCGGAAGGCTCTAGAATCTCTAACCTATATGGGCACGCGGCACGCCCAACATCCAAAATGTGTGTGATTGTCATGCCGTGGAATCTTATCCTTTTGCCATCCGTACTGTACTACTGGCATCTCACCACAGCACATATAGACAAAATGCAGATATTGCAAAGTTTCAATCACTAGGGTCATTTAAAACCCTAACCCTAGTAGCTGCTCCTGCTGCTTTTGCAAATATAGATACAAGTTTTTTCCCAAGTTTTCTTTATCTTCTGTGCAAAGCATGTCTTCCCTCTTTTTGGTATCATATCATGAGACTTCTTTTTTGGCAACCCTAAAAGATTAATTAGCATAAGATACAAAATGAAAACTCTTCTAGACGACCTAGGCCTAGGTTCAGCTTCTACGTTCAAAAAACTAGGAGACATGTCGACTGATTAGAGACGCATAATGGACTAGGTACAACAACTGTTGTGTTGTAAGGACACGCAATATTGCATGCGCAGCATGGTCTGAATTTCCCAGTCCCCTTCTGAAATATAATAGCATGGTCTGATTTTAAGATGTTGGATGTATAAAAATCAAATTTAAAAAAATAGAAAACCTTTGTTTATTCTATTCAAGCACTTGCACTTGATTTGGTGTTGAATTTCTTAGCTTCAAACTTTTTTTGGCATTCAAATTTTGCACAAATTTGGTACTTATTAATATGAGGTATCATTTCATCTCTCTATTGAAATTTCAATCACAACAAATTGACATAAATTTTGAAACTAAGGAATATTGATATTAATTTCAATCTTATAAGTTCAGCGTAAAATAGGTATTAGAAAATGCAAAAAAATAATAATTTACCAATAGCGTAAAATGTTATTTGAATGCACTACATTGACCACATTTAACTGACTATATTATGTGGCAACTGATGTGTCCAAGACAATGATAAGTGATAAGTTTAGGAGATGATAAGCACACTTATTATGTGAGCATCCAAACAATCTTTTAGGACCAAATATGAAACACAGCACACATATTATTTCTTGGGTGCCAACCCCAAAAATCATGGAAGGATTTTGATAATTCTAGGCTAGAGATTAATTAGAGGATTATTATTATTATTATTATTTAAAAAATCAAATAAATAAATAAATACCCTAATAGCGAGTTAGTTTGCTTTTTGGTTAGGAATTCACTTAAACAAAAACTTTAAGTAAGATTTACAACACGATACTAGATAAAATCCATTCCCACTGGCACCATTATTTATTAGTTATTCAGGCCCTTAGCCCAACTAGTTTTTTCGTTTTATTTGGAAGGCTATAGAATTTCTAACCTAGAGGGGAACGCTGTCATGCCCAACACCCAAACTGCGTGTGATTGTCATGACTCTGAAATCCTTATTCCTTTTGTCATCCATACTTTATTACTGGGATCTCGCCACAGCACCAGACAGAATGAAGATTTCAATCGCAATGGAAAAAATAATAATAATAATTTTGATGCAGCTTCAGTTGTCAGGTCAAAAGTTGATTTGAACTTTTCCCTAATCTTATTTACATATTTGTGTTATCCGTTCCCGTCCTTAATTAATGTACCTTTGTTACACTAAATAGTCATTCATTGTTCATCCCATTAACATGGGATCAACCTATTTATAAATACTACCTCATCAAAACTCATCAAGTGTTTGAATATACAACTCAAGTATATTCTCTTGCTGAGAACTTTGACGTGGTCTAATACTCTCAGAAGAGAGAGATGGTGAAGCAAGTATTGGATAGACCGATCCAACTAGCTGACCAATTCACAAAGGATGATTTTACGGTTGGTTGTTATGCTCGGAGGACAATTAATACTAACGTTTAATAAGCTTAAATCAACATATGATATATTTTTATTTTACTCATTCTATTATTTGTCTCCGCTCAATTTATAAATCAATACATACCACACAGTGTGCGTATCATCATCATATACAGTTTACCATTTACTCTCATTTAGCTCAGTATAGCCCTAATTTATTATTTCAACCTCCTTCTTTGAGTGCCTCCAATAAGTTTAACAAATGGCGGAACTAGGAATTTTTCGACAAGTGGACTAGCTAAAATTGTTAGCTTAAATTTATTTTTTTTTTTTTTTTTTTTTTTTTTTTTTTTTTTTTTTCTTTTTTCTACTTATTTATTTTTAATTTAAAATATAAAATATACATTAAACTATATTGAGGCACCTACTTACACAAAAATTGTTTAATAGCTTTTAACATATTCGACCCAAAAAAAACAGCTTTTAACATAAAAACGCTTGTATTGTATTTGTATGTTGCCAATTTGACAATAAAAGCGCTCCTAAATTACCAAAGGACGCGCGATGGAGCGGGTCAGGCTCTAAAACCGTTTTTTGGCTTTTTTTTGCGGCGAAGAACAAAATGGCCGTTTGATTTGAAATTAGTTTTCTTCTCTCTCTGTGTCTCGCTCATTGAGAAAATGAGAAATCATTGGGTTGTTATGGAGATAGTGGACTGATACTCTGACTGAGAAAAGAACCTACAAAACTTACTATTTGAAATTGCAGAGCAGAGCAGAGATGGTGAAGCAAACATTGGGCAGGGCCATCCAACTGGCTGACCAAGTCGCAAAGGCTTTGGACAGGGCCGTGGTGAGATCCACGGACAAGAGCTTCATCCCCAAGCTCAAATCCAAGGCTGAACAGCTGGCGGGGCTTCTCCGCCAACTCAGCAGCATCGACCTCGGCACCTACCCGCCCCGTACGTGCGATCATCGACAGCGCCGAACAAGGCCTCGATAGGTGTATGTTCCTGCTGCTCAAGCACCACTGTACCAAATGGATCATCATCAAGATTATCAAGAAGCGTTTCCCCACCGTCATCCCCGTTGATTGTTTCTCTAAAACGTCGAAGCTTCTTGACGCTTCAATCAACAACATGTCTTGGCTGATCCATTTTTGGAGGAACAAGACGAACGGGAAATTTGGACTGTCTCTGCCCCTAATAAATCAAACGAGCCCATGCTGTGTCTTGTTTGGGAAGAGATTGCAATTCTTCATGGCCCGGCTGAATCCTACCGAGCTCGATCTAGTGCTGCAACTTCACTCGGTGAGATGGCCAGGGACCTAGACGCGTACAGGAAGTTGATCATCCGGGAATGCGGAGTCGAAGCCTTGTTGAAATTGATGAAACACTGCTCACATTGTTACAAGAGACTAAGACTAGGTTGAATCTTCATCAATCCAGGGGCTAAGAATTGTTTCCCTTTCCTGGAAAAGGGAACAAAATTTCATTATTAACCACACCCTTGAACTCAACTCAAAATATCTTTTTCCTTTGCAATATCTTCACTATGTCTCGACTTACTTCAAAGTGCCCTGTAATTATTTTTTAAAGGGTTTTGATGATTAAAGTTTTTATTTACTTTTTTATATATATATATATATAATTGAATATAAGTGTTCAGAAAAAATATATGGGTGTCCGTAGAAATACAATCACTCACTCGAAAGTTTAAAACTATTGATACAAGGAATTTTAAAAAAAAAGGGAAGAAAACGTAAAACTTCTAGCCGAAGCCCAAAGAAGGAATCGGGTCGGGTATATCCCTTCTCAACCCGGTTCAGACCCGAAGCTGGATGGATAAAGCGGGCAGGCTCGAAACGGACAAATGAAACGGTTTTTGGCTTTGTTCGCGGAACCGCGGGGAAGCACAAGACAACACGGTGGGCCGTTTGAATTGAATTGATTATCTCTCTTCCCCCTCCTCTGTCTCTCATTGGGAAACTCGGAAATCAAAAGCCCTAGAGGACTACGAACCAAATTGATCTTCAAATTGTTGAATTCAAAGTCACTAGGTGAGTCCTCAATCTCAATGCTCTATGAATCGCAATGTCGCAGTTAATTGCTTGCGTATCTGATTTTTCGAATCTCTTAGCTGAAATTTTGTTCTCATTACTGGCTAGTGGAGATTGTGAATTGGTAATCAGGTTGAGGACCTACCTACCCATTGAAAAACATGCATTGCCTATTTGATTTGATTTTTCTCGGTTTAAATGTGGAAAATGGATAAAAACAATTTGTATGTGTTTTCTGAATTTTAGTTTTCTATCTGGTGTTGTTGGATTTTGAATTGGTCATATGTGTTGGCAGAAAACTCATGCATTGCTGTCTCTCGTCTTTAGCTGTTGTTCTGTTTATTCCCTGCAGGAGCTTGTACCATGTTTGAATTGGTCATAAGTGTGTGAGGCTGGCTCACTTGTTTCATGTTTGATGTAGCAGTAGTCATTTTGATTTGGCTATAAGGAATTGCTTTCTGCTTTTTGAAACCAAACCAAATTCTCATTTGAAGCAATAAGTTTCTAGAATCTGTTATACACATGAACTTATTTGATGACTGCATAGACCTATATTAATTTCTTGGATGATCAAATTGACTATTTTCAGTATCAAATGCTTGCTAAATATGCATCTTTAACCCGAGCGTAGCGCAATGCGCTGCGACTTAACCCACAGAGCTTACTATTGAATGAAAAGCAAGATATCCTCTTTTTATTTTTCCTCTATTGGTCTACTATATGGAGTTTCTCCTATTATGTATACTGTTGTAGCAGATTGTGTGCTCATATTAAATTTTGAGACTTAGAGACAGTTGAGCTTATTTCAGAATCATTCACAAGTTGCGGTTGGTGTCCATATTCCTGCCTCATACCTACCAAATTGGTTGCATGTTCATACTTGTGAATGAATCCCATTTTCAATGTGAGTATATATATATATATGGCTGCTCCACTTACGTAGAAATTCATTATTGTAGGTAGCATTTGGCTTGAAAACATTGTATTTTCCTTTCTGACCACATTTTGGTTCTGGAAAATCTGCAGTTGTGCTGCCTGGAGGAAAGTCTATGTCAGCTAGTGCTTGTATAATGACCCAAACAAGAGCTTCAGCTTATGTAAGATTCCTGATGGTGCTTGTCTTACTAACATTTGCAGTATTGAATAGTTGGACCATGGACCATGATAGTTGAAATGATTTGTGATTAGTTATAGCCTTTCTGATATCACACAAAAAGATCCTGAATCCTGATTGGTGAATAAATATTTTGCAGATCTTGTTTTTACTCTTCAATCATGGCTCTATAGAACTCTTCCTTTACCTTTTTCACTCTATTGAATTTTAATTCTGTAGATAATGTAATTAACATAGACTGGCTCCAACCTCTATACGTTGTAACACTCCCTGGCAGCCATCCATTTGGGTGTACTTCCGGGAGCCACCGTTAGAAGGATGTAAATGGAACTTAGACTGCTGCATTCTGATTTTGGAGCATTCATAATGGAAACTCCCTTTCATAATCTGTTATTAACTGATGGAATCAGGTGAACATAATTAAAATAGATGCAGTTTTGGGTGGGGTGTTTGAAATTTTCTCCCGTGATGGCTATGACAACCCTGTTTGTTTAGCATAATAATCAAATTTAGAAATGCTAAAACCAGCATACTAGTTTGAATTTGCTTTGAGAAGATAATTGCTTATTCAAATATCAAAACTTATGATACCAAACTTTCTGGTCTTGACACTGACCAAATGTTTTAACAACAATAACAAATTGGGCTCTTGGGTGGGAAAAAAAAATTCAACGAAGAAGATATTCATTTGACTGAGAAAGTTGTAAATTACATAGTATGTACACTCCATGACAACGATAAAACATAAACAAAAGAATGACATCTTTTCTCTTTTCAAGGAATAGGAAACCGCTCTGCCTTCTGATAAAATCAATGGCATTGGTATTTTGAGCCCTTGGACTGATAAAGATCCAACCTACTCTTAGCTTCTTGTAACAATGTTTCCAGTGCTTCGTCTTGGGTCATATAGGATTGCTTGGATGCCCATTCAAGCACGGTGAGCACCTCAGCCTGGGCAAGTTCTTCACTGTCTGGTACATGAAGTGCAATGTAGCACATGAGAACTAAGGCAGGAATCTGAACAATTTGCTCCCCAAAATACACAAGCTGGATCAAGTGCTTAGCACCTCCTGCACTTATTATTGCCTTGGAATGGTCAAGATGGAGATAGTTCTCTGTACATGCAAATTTTGTGAGGGCAATGGTAGCCTCCCTGGTAACCTCAGCTTCTCTTTCGTCAAGAAGCCGCACCAATGGGCCAATCATCCTTGTCTCAGTTGCCCGAAATGTCCTTGCCAAATTCCCAACAGCTTTGATGCATGGAATCAGGAGGTCTAAATCTGCATCAGCCTTTTCAATAATCTTTTGTAATTGATCAACCACAGACTTGCAAGCCGGAGAATTAGGCTTGAAGGCAGATCTTCTCAACTCAGCATCCTTCTCTGCCACTGCCGTGATCTCCATTAATGCCATGGCAGAATTGAGTTGAACATCTTCAGAGCCCTTTTCCAGGAGCACTGCAAAACACAACAGTGCCCTTGATTCCGTGATGCTACGGCAAATGGGCGAGTTCCCTTTGGCAAGCTGCCAAAGAGCTCTTGCTGCCATTGCTTTCATGTTGGCCTTGGTGGCAGGGTCTTCCAATTCCCTCCCCTTAATGCTAGTCCCTGAATGATTATGCTGATGATGGTGAGTGGATTGTTGGTACTGATGATTCTGCTTTGCATTGCTGTTGCTGTTGCCATTGCTTTTGGCTTGATTGGCTTGATTCACTCCGTTAACTACTTGTTGGAGAGGAGGCTTCAACCCGCCCTGCATTGCCATGGTGCTAGTAACCACATTGTGCATCTGACTCGAGATTCGATTGCCCAACGGATGAGGAATGTGACGGTAACCCTGCTTCTCATCCTCGTCACTCGCCCTGTTCGGAATATAATTTGCATTGGAGTTGTTTGTAGCCACCACAACCGCATGGATCGATGTGGCTTTGTTGAAAGTAATAGCATACTTACTATGCTCCTGAACAGTTTCGAACGCAAGATGGCTAACCAGCAACCGGATGATATTGTGCTGCGCAAAAAGATCCTGGCATTTGGGGTAATGAGATGCAAGCTCCGAGATGGCACGGGCCACCATGGCCTGAACTCTCATCGGACCTTCTTTCAGGATCTTCGCAAACACCGAACACACCCCGGCATGGATCATGTGTTCTACGCTTTCCGGGTCACGTCCCAGCAATCCAAGGGCCTCAGCAGCATACTCTTGGCCTTCCATTTTACCCTCTTTGATTAATTTCAACAAGGGTCCAACTCCACCTTCCTCAATTATCAACTTTCCGTATCGATCATTGTCCTTGGCAAGCGAAACAAGCGAAGCTGCTGCATCAGATCGATCGTCAACTGACCCAGTGTGCAGAATTGCAATCTGCTCCCAAATGAGGCACAGAATTGGCTCGTTTGCGGCGATCGGAGGCAGCCCAAGGTACCCATCTTCCCGGCTATCGGCCGGGGCCGATACCCGGAGCAGCCACGACAGGTCTCCGATGGAATTTTCGAGCTGCGACGACATTTTCCGGAACTGGGCGGCTGGGATGATGGTGAAGACTCTCTTCATGATGCCGTTGGCGCGGCATTTGAGCACCAGAGACAGCGCTTTGTCGAGCACTTGCTCAGTCTCGTCGATGATCCGGCGAGTTGGGCGCTCGTAGAGGTCGGAGCTGGCCCGAGCGGCTTGCCGGAGAAGCAGTGCGAGCTTCTCGGTCTTGGATTTGAGCTCGAAGCACTCCTGCTTCGACGAACTGGCCTCCTCTGCAGCCTTCGTGACTTGGTCAGCTAGTTGGATCGGCTTTGCCAAGATTTTCTTCACTATGTCCGCCATGGCTGGCACGGCGGACCAAGACACCAAGGTGTTTGATGAAGTTGGGGTTGTCAAAGAACAGAGATTAGATCAAAAGAAGTCAAATGGGTCTTCCTGGTTTGGCCTCTGCACTCGTTTTTGGGGCTTGGCAAGTGGAGAAGAAGATGGAGATAGTGTGCTGAGAGAAGCACAGAAAGCAGAAACGAATGTTAGGCCAGGCAAATGCAACGTGGGGTTACGGTAGGGAGAGAGAGAGAGAGATGCCTCGAACAAAGTTTGGTGCTTTGGGTTTGGGTTTGCGCCAGAGTTTTTGCAAAGTGATAGTCGACAAGGTCGACAAGGTCTACAAGGTCAGGTCAAACGCGTTTTTTTTTCTTATATAAAAAAGTAAGAGCATATGACCTCTTCTTTTGCTCTCTCTCTCTCTCTCGCCTCTACATGGTTGGGGTGCTTCTCTCTTTTCATTTTCTTCGTCTTCTCATATTAGATTTTTCAATTAATTAAAGATAAGGACAACATCGTGATATACCAATAGAAATTGCTGTCAGGCTGTCACCTTTTAACTACCAGCCCCACTCGGGTCCACTCCTGAGGTTGCAGAAGTAAGGCATTCTCCAAATGGTCCTAAACTCAAATTTACCTCCACTAAAAAGTAATTATTTAAGTTTTACTCAGATTCAAACCGTTTTTTTTCCTAATTCTTTATACTTAAATTTTAAGTCTGTAATTTTATTAAATTATTTAAAAATAATTTAAATCTATTTTTTTTTTCCATGAATAACTTTTCTTCATTTAATCTTTTTAAATAACTTCATAATTTATTTTTTTAAACAATTTGACTTAAAAAATTGAAATTCCACATATATAATTTTATTTGAGAAATGAGTGGGCATTTAAGTTTGGAGTGAGTTTTGGGGTTGAATTTAATTTAAATTATTATTTTGACTGTTGAATTTAAATTTTAGTTGTCGGATTTTTTTTACCGTTAAAATAACTTGGACTTAACATGAATTGTTGGATTTGGGTTATTGTTGGAATAATAAAAAATAAAAAATAAAATAGGCACAACACATGATGCCCATTAATTTCTCCTTACACATGGGTTGCATCAGCCTTGAGTAGTCTCCACCAAAATGTTTTCCGTGCCTGAATTGGTATTTGGTCCCAAGTTCGGATCTTTCCAAATTTTGATTCCTTACTTATTATTTAAGTTTTATCTCATGAGTTAGAGATGGCCTAACGCAGGTGAAACTTTGGCTTGGCAGGTGTCAATTTAGATTTACTGGTAAAAGTAAAAGCAACAAACTTCATTATTGCAATCCCGACTGCTTATTGCCGTTGAGTGGCTTTTGTTACTGGAAGATGCTTTCCAGTCCAACTTTTTTTTAATCCTCCGCTATAAAAAGGAAATATGACATCTCATATGTGGCATCAGTGTTTGACTTAGTGGCATTCATAAGCTTGGTTTAATTATATTTACTTCAATCTAGTGACAGCATTGCTACTTTGCAATAGGAAGATCACCTGCAAAGTCAGGCCTCCTTATTTTATTTTAACCCAATTTTATATACAAATAATAAGCAGATCCACAAAACTATAAAATCAATTAAATTAAGCTCAAAATCGATGGTGGGAATGCTTAAAAATGGGTATAATTTTTAATTTTATTATTTTCAAAAGCTTTAGAGCTAGATGGGTTTTTCTTGTTTCCAGTGTTGTTTTTGGACCTGTAACATGTCCATTTTTTCAGAGAGAAACTCTATCATGTAATGAGATAATACTTTTTGCTATCCCCACTAATAACATAATGACACATAGATAACTTCTCTACATATCATTATGTTATTAGTCGAAGATAACAAAACAGTGTTATCCCTGTTACAAGTAAGTTTTTTATACATTTTTTTAAGTGCTTTATTTATTTTATCTCAAATTTTAATCGGTGATCAAATGATGTGATGGAGCTTGATTTTGTGCATCAAATTTTATTGGCATTGCCGGACTTGGGGCCTAAATGTATCCGTGGCAGTTTTTGAATCTCTTGCTATGAGTTTTGGGATGAGACCTCTGGCTGGCTGGCCCTTGGCCTTGGAAAAGCCATGCCGTCTCAAACCCATCAAAGCTCTCGATTGGGACACTCGTGTTTCTTTAATTTTTCTTACTGAAGCCAATTAAAACAAGACTACTCAACATTTTGAGGCCCTTTTCGTAAATTGTACAGGATATATATTGCTTCAATATCCAGCAACAAATTGATGTTGAGTTGGACAAGTGGGGGGGGGGATCTGTTTGCCTCTGAATTAGTGAGTCGCAATACATGTTATTATCATCATCATGATTCATGTCTGGCCAACTGCCACATTCTTTATCATTTTGTCATTGTCATGATTTATTGGTTTTTTTTTTATAGTTGAAGTGAGAAGCTTAGAATTTGCTAGTTGGCAATTCAAATAAATTATGTTTGGTGCTGGAGTCGGAGGTTTTATAGGAATCTTTGTGTGAGAATTGCGCCTAATTTGATTGTGTCGGATATTCTCTCTCTCTCTCTCTCTCTCTCTCCTCTCTCTCCTCTCTCTCTCTCTCTCTCTCTCTCTCTCCTCTCTCTCTCTCTGTGTTGTATTGGCTGTAAATCTCAGTAGAGAAATAAAAAATGAATACCATAGCTGGAAAAATTAGTGCCTACCCACGAACCATGTCGAGGGGGTCAATTTTAATGTGTATTTTTTTCTTTTTCATATTTTCCTTTAAAGAAGAAGCGTAAGATTAAAATTCTCTTCTAGTATATTAAACTCGCACACATTGTATATATGCTAAGACCCCAACTCAGGACCTTTTTTAAGAGGAGCATTTGTTCCAAATCATTACACTAGTGAGTCATCTGCAACTTCCTTTTGTTTTTAAAGTAAGAAAAAGAACATACAAATTCACGGGAAGAAATATACACAAAAAGAAAGAGGAAATTCAATTTAGTGTTTTTGACAACAATCCGGGCTCTTTTGCATTTTCAGGTACCCCTTCACAATGAACCCAACACAAATACGTAAGACCCATCTGCTGGAAACTACAAATTATAATCAACTAATTAATTATTATTATGCATTCATACTCACCACCATAGGTCCACAACACCAGAACTGAAGTATCTGCATACAAACAATATACGTGGGTTCCTCACTTCCTGGTCCTGCCTGCAAGCTCAAGATCCTGTCCTGTAGTTCTAGCCCTTATATAGTAACTACGAGCTAGGATCCTATAATTTTATCGTTTTTAACTTTTTATTGCTTGCAGTAAATAAAAAAAAATAAACAAATGTATAGCTCAAAAGGAAAATTTGCATGTGAATCGATCATGTCCTTTCCTCCTCCATGAAAAGCAGAACTAAATTAAACCTAGCTAATATATCTTTCAAGTCCCACGTGGAACTTGCCATGAAGATTCATAAACCTAATTATATAACATACCGAAAAAAGTTATACTTTGATTTTTGTCTTTTGTCGCCAACATCAGGGCATGCAGAGAGAGAGAGAGAGAGAGAGAGAGAGAGGTATATTATATACGAAAATTCCGATGGAGAGTGGATATTTGTACGTCAGAGTTGGGTTTTGATTGAACATTTCTTTTCATGCTATTGCTTGCATACCCCTCACTCGAGAGCAGATAAGATTTCTTCTTCTTCTTCTTCTTCTTTTAAAAAAAAATCCAATTTATGAGATTCCTTCACTGAGAGTCACAAGGATATAGGAAATAAAGTGGTCTATATTATAGGAAGTGACCGAAAGGACTTCTCTCAAACTCGTACCACCTACTGTGCTTGGCTTTTGGACAACCCGACTGATTAAGATTGGATGCACTTTCGTTCATGCATACGGACACTGATTTGATTCTTTTCATGTCCAAAGGCTACACACTTTTTTCACGGCACCCAAAAAGAAAAGCACAAATCCAAGTTGCATTACTGTTAATTTCGCTATGCATGCGCTCTGAGTAACTGTAATTATATAGATCCTATATATACAATCGCAAGGTGCTAGAATGGGGATGAATTTGAGGATTTTTTTTTATGAATCGCAGCTTGCATAAACGCTGATTTGGAAGCTTGTATATTATGCACGTACATAAAAAAGCAGGCACAAAGCTTTCTGCAAAACCCACAGCATGCAATCCGAGGGAAAAAACAATGACAATTAATATACCATCATGCCAGGGGACCCAAATTTACACAAAATTTTCTCAATCACCTTTCCTTGTTTTCTTCTTTCAAACCCATCAAACCCCCCACCTCTAACCACCAAATTACATCATTTAATCCCATCAAGATTTAAAACTTGTTGTGGTGGGACCTCTTTGGCCATCTCTTTGGGAGGTACGAGTTTCCTGGAAGCAACCTCTCCTTAAGAGAGAGTTAGGGGAGGAAGGTCACAATCTAAAAGAATTGTTTGCAAGCATCTCTATCAAAGGATTCTTATATGCATGAACACAAAAACAGTGATGGAGATGGAGGTCGATTGTGAGCTTGGATATCTGCATTTTAATTTAAAGGTGAAAGGGCAACTCAACAGAGCTTAGACAGAGTACAAAATAATGTAAACCATGCATATATATAGTCTATTTTTTTTCATAGTTTTTCAAAAGTACTTTTGTCGTCATCTTTCTGCATAAACTGCTTATTTTCCATGCATGAATCATGAGCTCCTTCCTTAGAATAATATATATAAATATATATGACTCATGAGTATATACTTTATTCTGAGACAAACATATACAATGAAGGAACAATCATGAAAGTGCAGGGAGAGGGAGGGCTGGTTCTATGAAACTGCATCTGTTGCATAAACTGCCACTGCCACAGCAGTATATTCATCTATACAAGTACGATCTAATATTTATGTGTTGTGTGCGTGTGAGTGGAAACAAATTTGCAATTGGCATGTGATTTATGCTGCCGTTATCATTGCACAGACATATTGAAATATTTGGACCACTTTTCTTTTCCTTCACGCCTAATAGAACATGTGAAAAAT